TCCACTCCCTGCCTCCTGTCCCTGTGCCTCTCGTCTCCCTCTCCTTTCTCCTAAGAGGACCTCCGTCATTGGATTTAGGGTCCACCTTAATCTGGGTGGCTCACAAAGACCCTGTTTCTAAATAAACTCACGTTCACAGGTGCCCGGAGCTAGGGCTTGGACATTTTTTTGTAGGAACTATTGTTCATCTTGCTACTTAGGTGACCTTGACCAAGGGCGTCTCCCTTCCATTTTCCATTGCAAACAGTCCTGGGTTGACTGGGCCAGGGCTCTCAACTTGCAGGCCTCTGGAGTCCCCCCAGATGCCACCCTGAGATCCCCAGGGCTGGGGCTGGGCATTGGTATTTCTTAGAAATCTTCTCAGTTGTGACTGATCCTTCCTGGTGTCCACAAGACTCTCTGGTGTAGGTGGTGAAGGCTCTTCATTCTAAGAGACGCCTGAGTCCAAGGCGAAGTGGGACAGTTAGTCACCAAATCCCATCCATCCCCAGGGCAGGTGGATGGAAGCTTTTGGACTTGACCCCCGTGGAGATATTCGTACCTCTCAGACCAGAGGCTGGGGCATGGTAAGCCTGCTTTCTATTGCTATAGCAAAATACTGGAGGTTGAGTTAACAAAAAAAAAAAAAAAAAAAAAAAAGGAGGTTTATTTAGCTTACAGTTTGGAAACTGAAATCCCAAGGCCAGAAGCTCCAGGTATGGGGCCTCTGGTGAGGATCCTGGGCCACACACAGCATGGTGGGTGGCAGCACTTGGCAAGAGCATATGCAGAGGAGTCACATGCAGAGACAGGAAGAAAGGAGGGGCCTGGGAGTGGGTGCCTCACTTCCACAAGAGGCTGCTTGGTAGGGCCTAGTCCCTGACCTGCTTCCTGAAGACAGACATGAATCCCCTTAGGGGTGGAGCCCTATGGCCCAGCCACCTCCCACCAGGCCACGCCTCTTGGAGATGCACTGCCCCTCAACACCAGCCCCCAGGAACCGAGCTCCAGCACAGGAACCTCTGGGGGCACAGCTGGGCTGAACCACTCCATAGACTCCGTGATTCCCGCCTGGCCACTCGCTCCCCGTCTCTGTAGCCGCAGGGTGGCCTTGCCCAGGTGGAGGGTGTGCGCCCAGCTGTGTCTCAGAGCTACATCCAGAGAAGGAGGGTCTTTCGGAAGCCGTGGGGCACCCCAGCCTCCTCAGGGCAGAGGAGAGCATATAGAGAAAGTCGTCTTACCCTCCCGTGGCGTGGGACACCTGCTCCAGGCAGCCTTGCCTTGCCCTCCTCCCCCAGGTGCCTGGGCCTCTCTCTGGGTGGCTCTGAGGGTGCAGGTTCCCTCAAGAGCCTCTGGAGGACACAGCCAGGGCAGGTGCCACAGTTGTCACACCAGGCCCGGGCTGGCATCTGTCCCCCACTCCCTGTATAGAGGATAGGGACAAGAGGTCAAGAAAGAGGCAAGCTGACCCAGAAGGGAGCCTGCATTGACAGGAGGATCCCCAGGAAATCTGTGACAGCCCTGTGGAGGAGCTGGCAGCTACCTCCTAGGTGGCCCCCGTTGTTCCCCAAGAAGCCCCGTCTTGGTGCCTGTGATCGCCGGGGAGCTGCCTGCGGTGGGCGGGAAGCCGGCTCAGCTTAGTCCAGGCCTCCTCCGAATCCAGACTTTTCCAGTTTCACGAATCTGCTGTCTGGCTCGTCACTGCCACTGCCCTATCCTGCTAGTGCTTCATGGAAATGAGCCCCGACTGCTGAGCTCTTGGAGAGGGGACTTCTCCTGCCTCCACCTGCATCTCCCCTGCTCCCGGACTCCAGTGGGACAAGGGCATCTGCAGTCGGGACAGTGCAGGTGTCTCCAAGTCCCCACTTCCACCAGGACAGCTCTCTGGCATGGAGCTGCTGCCGGCCTGCCTCTCCGGTCCATTCCTCCTTCCCTCCGGGCTGGCGTCCCCCACCTCGGCAGCCCTCCCTCCTCTCCCAAGGGAAGGTGGCTGTGTGGTGGCCTGGGGACAGGGTCCCAGAGGAGGCTGCAGGCTACTCGTGGTGCCTCCTCACCCTCCCAGCCGGGACCAGTGGGAGGACTTCACGTTGGCTGTGCTCGTCTGTCTCTGGGACACGGCTGCCATGCTCTGGAACCACCATCGGGGCAGACACACTTGAGCCACAGGGTGACGACACATGTGCCATTTTGCATGGGTGTGTGGAGCCTCCGTGAGCACACACAGGTCACAGCACTCAGACCCCAGGTGAGGAAGGGCCGTCAGGGAGGGAGACCCATGCTCTCCCTGTAATGGAGGAGATGAATCATGGCAGCCTCTGCTGAGGCTGTCCAGGGCCGGCAGGCCCTTCCTCACCTTATGTCTGTACGTGTGTGCAGATGTGAGGGAGCAGGCATGTGTGTAAACGTGCACGAGCTAGCATGAGTGCTGAGTGTGAACACGTGTGAGAGCTGCGTGTATGTGAACATTGGTGGGTGTGAAAGTGAATTGTGAGCATGTGTCAGTGTGTGAGGGAGCTGGTGGGACCGAGCCTGTGTGTGTGCATGGGTGTGTGTGAACCCTTCAACTGCACCCCGTGGCTTCCCCTGTTCTCCTGCGCGTGGACACTGGGTCAGCGGGACGCTGGGCTGTCTGATGGACATGCTGCTCTCTGATGGACACATCCTGGCCGTGCTGACTCTAAACAAGACCGTCCTTCCCTGCCGGCCACGGGGTGAAGCTGCTTCACCTAACAAGGCCAAGTGGAAAGTCCCCGCGGTCATCTGTGCCTGAGCCTGGCTCACCGAGCACAATCACACCCTCACTCACACACGCTCACTCACTTATCCACACCTTGCACCTGCACACACACTCAAACATGCTGACACTCATGTTTACTCACACACTCACAAACACACACCCATACAGTCACACACGAACTCTCATGCTCACTCATAATAACACTCTCACAAATAACACTCACTCCGTCACGTACACACCCAACACATGTGCACACACACCCAACACATGTGCGCGCGCGCGCGCGCGCGCACACACACACACACACACACACACACACACACACACACACCTTTTGCTGTACCTTTATGGAGGAGTGATTGACAGGAAGACCTGTTGGTCAACAGCTAGAAACTGTTAACTTGGTTCTATATTGAAGACAGGCGTTTAACAATAGAGAAAGATGAGGACATTCCAGACTCCACCAAGTCCTCAGTGCCACGTCCTGCCCTCCCTGTGCTGGGCTGGAGGGTGCAGTGCTCTCTCCAGAGGGACCGGCAGGCCGTGGAGTAGAGTGGGAGGCAGGGGCCAGGCTGGGGTCCCCTCCCTCACCACGTGCCTTCCTGAACCGCAGCCCCCTTCCTGGAACCCACCTGGCGGAGGACCTGCGCTGTAGGGCGGTAGAGAATTGCAGGGAAAAGGAGTTTTACACTTTAATGTTGTCCCTGATTCACCTCCACATGCTATGGAAACTTCCTGTATGGTACAAACTTCCCGAGAGAGGGTAAATGTGGTATTATAAAGAAGATTCAGCTTGCATTTTAAATGTCCAAATTTACTCAGATTTTAATTATAATTTTCATTTTATTTTTTTTAAAGATAGAGAGAGGGAGAGAAGAGAGAGAATTTCTTAATATTTATTTTTCAGTTTTTGGTGGACACAACATCTTTTATTTTATTTTTATGTGGTGCTGAGGATCGAAACCAGCACCCCACACACACCAGGCGAGCGCATTACGGCTTGAGCCACATCCCCAGCCCTAATTTTCTATTTATTCTCCTAATGCTAATCAAATTGATTTCCTCGAACATGAGAGTTTTAGGATTGATTCTTTCCTTATTAAACTCTTTCTTTTTAACCTGTATTACAGCACAGTCTACGGGTCGGTCCTCACAAAACTTGGGTCTTCTGTAAAGGGACTTGCTGTCCTCCAGGGAAGCCCTGTGCAGGGCCCTTGGCTGTGGTTATTTCCAGCTTCTCTTTCAAGTTCTTGCCATGGCATCTGACACTGAGCCATTAGCCATGCAAGTGCAGCAGTGAGTCGCCGGGGAGATGAACCTACAGAGAATAGAAGACATGGCAACGTGGGCATGGGCATCGGGTGGAAGGCCCCCGGAGAGGACAGCTCTGTATTGAGGACACAAGGGAATTATGAGCTGGACAGCCAGGGGGCCCCTGTACCTACCCTGTTGTCTTCTCCGAGAAGCCAACAGCTTTCAATACCAAGTTACAAAAAGCACAAAGGCTTTGTGGGCTAGAGAGAGTTTGACACGGAATCTAAAAATCCATCTCACATGTAACATGACAGTTACTGAAATAAAAATGCCTCCTACAATTCCACCACCTCAACAGGCTTTCTCTTCTCCCCTTGATCTTCTCTGGGTTTCATCCACTTTCATGTAAGGTTGGGGTTGACTTCTTTCTGAAGGCAGTTGTATGAACTTTTGTTTTGAGTTTACAGTGCTCATTTTTTCTTAATACTGGTACAACATCTTCATGGTGGGCATTTCCCGATTCTTTAATATTCTATCCTCTGCAATAATTCATTCCCCCCCCCACTTGAGGCTGTTCCACGGGTGATTTTCCATTCCAGTCATGGGTAGTGAGCGTCTCTGTGAGCACAGCCCAGCGATCCCCAGGAGAAGGGGCTGGGGGGCTGGTGAAGCCCCACTCATGACTTCTGAGCTGTATTGTGGAGCTGTGTGAAGGGTGCCTTTCTGAGTCTGATGTACCACTTTGATTTGACGCTGTTTTCTCCTGCCAGTTTGCAGTGATAGGGTAAGAGAATACTTTGCACTTGGTGGGGGGACACAGATTTGGGTTTGCAATGCATTTTCTGGGTAACAATGAGATGGAACTCAGCGATGAGACTGGAGATGTTGGCCGCTCACCTTTCCTAAAAGATGCCATCTGCTTGGAGCAAGAATAGTCTGTGACATGCAGGAGCCCCCAGGGAAACAGCGGTAGCAGGCGGGCATTGATGAGCAGGCATAAGGGACTGCTCCCAGCAGATGCTCCCTCTGAAGCCATTGCCATCACCAGCAGCACAGGGGACAGAAGGCCTTTCCTTGGGGCCCAGGCGACGCAGGCCCTTAGTGCCCCTCCAAAGACTCAGACTGCTGCCTTGGAAGCCCTGGGTCCTGCGTGGCCCCTGCCCCCGAGGACGCCCATGACCCTGGGGCTGGCCCTGCTGGCTTTGGCCAGTGCTGTGGGTCTGAGCCAGGCCAGCAGCTTTACAGGTGAGGCATCTGGGCTCAGCGTGGGTGGTTCTTGAGGGAGGGGCTCCTTGGGAGAGGGTCTCATGAGGATGGCCCCTATGGGGACACCGTGTCTTCTCTGAGGGGTGGACCTGCTCCTGGATGGCCAAGCTGCATAAGTTGGGGAGCACCCTGCAAGCTTCCAGAAGGACTCTTTCAGTGCCAGGGTGCCTCTGGGGGTCCCGGGGATCCCTGGGGTTAAAATGTGGATTCAGAGCTGGCAGGGGGCAGGGTGGGGCCGGAAACTGCATTTGTGTGGGTGATGAAGGTGTGGTAGATCCTTGGACCCAGTTGGGGACAGCAAGCTCTTAGAGCAAGCTCTTAGAGATTATCTGGACCTAGGGGTATTGAAGTCCTTGATCCTAGGTCAGGACCCAGGAACCAGAGATGTTAGGGCTTGCCCTTCGCCACCCAGCTCCTAAGTGCAGAATTACTGCCATGGAGTGAGGGGTGGGTGAGGGCACCGGCAAGAGCCTCAGGAGACACAGGGTTTGTAGAGCTGCAGGGCTGGGGTGTAGCTCAGGGCAGAGTTCACAGTTAGCACACTGGGTTCCATGCCCAGTACCGCAAACAAACAGAAACTCGTGGATTTCTGAAACCACAGATTGCAAGAAATTGAGATTCCAAGCTTTAAAATTATTTCCTCTTAAAACTCTCTCACTCAGTTGGGAGTCTAAAGAGACCCACGCTGTCTCCAAATCAACTACAGCTTCCCTGCAGACAGGAGCGGGCACGTGTGTGTGTGTGTGTGTGTGTGTGTGTGTGTGTGTGTATGTGTGTGCATGGTGAGAGTGAGAGCCTGTGAACGTGTGTGAGTGTGTGCACACGTATGGGCTTGTGTGAGCATGTGCATGTGCACACACATGTGCCGGCTGGAGGGACCTCCTGGCCATTAGCTGGGACCCATAAACAGCAGGTGGAGGCAGGGGACTCCCTATACATCACATACTGTGGCCTCGGTGGACGTCTCCCCTTAGGTGAAGGTGAAGCCCTCTATAGCCACCTGACGCTGGGCACCTGGGGCTTCATCCTGCTCAGCATGGCCACCAAGTTTGAGCCCGGGTTCCTTCTGCCACTCTCTCACCCTCTCCTGGTCATATCTGAGCTTTTGGCCAACCGCCGCCCCACGACCCCAACTTCTCCTGTCCCATGCCATGTCACCAAGGCTCTGTGCTCTCCAGAGCAGACTGGACCTACATTTGGCAGAGGAGCCACCAGGTCACCCCCGACCCACAGAGTCCCCTGAGGAGGGCGACTGGGATGCAGCATCCCCCAGGAAGGTGGCAGCTTGTCCTCTGTGACTGGAGAGGTTTCTTCTCCGCCCTGGGGCTCCACCCAGAATAAGGCTGCACCCCTTCCATCAGCCAGTCCACGGCTGGCTCTGCCCAGTTTCTTCCTGGTTCTCACTATCTGCCTGTTTGCGAGTCACCCAAAAGTCCAGGGCAGGGGTCTTCAGAGGTGCCATCCTGGGGTGGGGACAAAGGCAGTGGCTCTTCTTAGGATTATTTCTGCCCCTGTATGATATGAGTTCCTCCCAGCAACCCACCGCGTTGCTCTGGGAGGGAAATAAGTGGTGGCATTGGCCCTACCTGCAGGCTGCAGTCTAGTGGGGTGGAGAGCTTGAGGCTGAGGCCCCGGCCAGCCACTCCTCCAGCCCATACCTGAGCCCAGCACACAGAGCCCCTGCTGGGTGCTGTGGGAGTTGAGGGGAGCCCATCTCCAGTTAGGCTCACCTCTTGAGCTTTTGGGGGTTAGCACCTGAACATATTTTGGAGGAACACAATCCTCCCCAAGCAGCTTCAGTGACATGAGGTGACAGAGGCTCCCTGGGAAGAGGGGAAGCCCCAGGAGCCACCTGAGGGGAGACAATGGCAAAGGGGCAGAGAGCTGGCAGATGTCACCTGTGCCTAAGTCTCAAGAACAGAGTACTCATATTGACAAAGGATCAATGGTAGGAGCCAGGCTCCAGGGCAGAGAGGCTCAGGGCCTGACGGGGTCAGCGGGAGGCTCCATCTAGAACAGGGTGACGTGCCCTCCGTCCTCCATGACAATAGTGACAGTTGCAGTGAGCTTCATCATCTGTGCACCTTTCACATGTGGCTACATATTTGTTATTTATCTTATTGGATTTTATTGCACAAAAGTTGTCACTGTCTTCTGCCTGGCCCGAGCAGGCCCCTGGTAGGAGGGAGTCGCTGCCTATCCGTGTCCCACATGCCCAGCCTGAGGCTCATGAGTCAGGTGTGCGCGAGATTCTACACTGCAGAACCAGAAACGTGCAGTAGACCACGGGACGGGACCTCCTGGTTCTGCTCCTTCAGCATCTTCACTGTTGGAGCCCTGGCTGCGGGGAGGTGGGAGTGGCCCGGGTGGCGGCTCACTCTAAGGAGGGATTTTTAGCCTGCAGACAGGTGTTGATGCACCCTTCCCATGACTCTCGGTGCACAGAGGCCAAGGCTGTGGTGGGGCAGGTGGCGGGACATGAGCGGCCCTACTGTGGCGATCCTATCCGCTGGCTGTGGCAGAGGTGGCCATCCATGTAACCCACGTTGATCTGACGCTTTGGTCCCACCTCTTTGCCCCCTCCCTCATAGAAAAAGGCCTGTCCTTGCTGAGCTACCAGCTGTGCAGCTACCTGGAGACCCGAAGCGTCCCGAGAGTGGAGGCTGTCCAGACTTCCCACGTTGTCCACACGTCCTGCGGGGGCTGGATCCCATGGAGGTGGTGCCCCAAGACTGTTTACAGGACACAGTACCTGACGGTGGAGGTCCCCGAGTCCAGGAACGTGACCGACTGCTGCAAGGGCTACGAGCAGCTCGGCCTCTACTGCGTCCTGTGTGAGTTCCGGGTGCAGGGCGGTGGCAGGGCAGAGAGGGCGTCTCCGGGACTGTCATGTGCCTGCTGTCAGCACTGAACTGTTTAGGTCTTGTGCATTAGGGTCATCTGAAGGGGGTCACAGGCCCACCCCCAGAGCTCTGAGTCTGTGGGTCCTGATGAAAGGCAAGAGTTGGCCTTCCGGCCTGTTCCCAGGTGGTACGGAGGCTCACCCAGGGCCCGGGAGCTGCAGACCCGCCCGAGCTCGGAGGCTGTGCAGGCTCCTCCCCAGCCGCAGTCTTCTCCTTTTGAAGGTCATGGTTAGGTGATGTGAGTTCCAGCTCACGTCCTGGCCTGAACCCTACAGTGGGCCGGAGGGCCAGGCCTCCCCCATCACTGCCCAGAGGCCGCGTCCTCCTGCCTCCACCCTGCAGTGTGAAGCTGCTGCTGTGAGCAGAGGTGGCTGTTGCCAAGGCGACCAGTGTGGCTGCCAGGGCCACAGCAGGGCCAGGCAGGGCTCAGATGACCTCTTCCGGGAGGGAGTGTGAGAGGCAGGGTGCGTGGGTGGTGCTGCTCGCTCTGAGTCAGGATCAGATCAGAGTGAGCCTCCGTGCAGTCAGAAGGTCCTCTCCTGCCCTGGGGAGGGCAAGTGGGAAGGGGTGCCCGCTAGGTGTCAGCAGGGCCACCCAGGACACGAGGGCAGCAGCCCAGGGCGGAAAGCACTAGCTGTGGGGGCCCCGAGAAGGCCCCAAGGGACCAATTCCTGTGGCCCAGGCCAGGATGCCAGCAGGCTGGGAGCCCCCCAGTTCCCCAGTGCAACATCGTCCAGGATGGGCGGTGGACACTTCCCATTGTCCTGTTCAGGGGGCCAGGTGTAGAGAGGGCTGAGGGCTCTGGACTGATGCCTGTTAAACAGGAGCCTGACCAGCACCATCGCCATCAGCCTCCTCTGCAGAAGAAAGAGGGCCAGCACCGGGCAGCGACAGGCTGTCCCTGTCCATTCACTAAGTGATGGGGTCCAAGGAGTCCCTTTGTGCCCACACCCCAGCCCTATTTCCATGTTCCTGTCTCCAGGGCTCGTGGGCAACTGTGGCTCCTGCACCACCTCCCGGGGCTGGGGTCACCTTGCGTTCCCAGCCTGTTGCTGCAAAGGCCTTGTGGCTCAGAGCATCATGGCCTGGGGCTCGTGATCTGGCCATTGAAGGCTGGCACAGGCCTGCCCCGTCCCATCTCAGTGTGACAGCAACCCTTCTTCTGACTTGTTATTGCTATCAGGACTAGTGAGGTGACACAGCTGGAGGGAGTGAGGCAACCCCGAGGGAGACCGATCCTCAGCCCCTTCCCACCTCCAGCCCTGCCTAGGGCACCTGCGGCCCTGCTCTGCTCCACACGCTAATCCCCATGGAAGAGAAGACTGGCGGCTGGTGGCCCTCCCCACCACCTGCCCCCACCTTCCCTCCGCAAACCAGCATCTAGAAGGGCCTCTTGTGGGGCCTTGGCATTAAGAGCATGAGGACCTTTAATTAGGGACTCTCCAGGGTGAGGGAAGGTGCAAGTGTTCTAGATAGAGAGTCTCAGGTGAGCACAGTGCTGCTCTGGGGCGCTGCAGGCGACCCTGTGGCAGGTGCAGGCAGGGTGAGGCAGGTAAGGGATGGCTGGGGGAGAGGGAGAAAGGTGCTGTGAGGCAGGACAATTCATGGTCCCCTTGATTCCTGGAAGTGTGACTCTAGTAGCGGGGGACCCAGAGAGGCAGACAGGACCCTGGAAAGAAAGGAGAGGAAATGGGCATTGGTCAGTGGTGTTGGAGGGTCAGGCCAGATAGGAGATCCTTGCTCCTGTCACTCAGGAATAGCTCTGCCTGGTGTGACCCCAGCCAGAGAGAGGCCAGGGACCTGACCAGGACTGGCAGCTAGTGGGCAGGCTGGGGAGGGGCCCCAAGTCTCTGCCCTCACACCATCATTTTCTGGTTCACCAAGCTGCACTTGCTGTTGGGGAGCATTTGAGGTCAGTGGCCATGTGATGGTGGGAGGGGAACATTTCAGGGCACCAGGGACACTGGGCTCTCCCTGGGGAAGGTCCCTGCTGGTGCCAGGGCTTGTCATATAGCATAACCCACGGGGCCGCCGTGGCTCCCTCTCTGTGCGGGACCATCGTAAGCACTGATCTCTACCCAGCTCTTGTTCAAAGGCAGGCCCTGGCGGCCTGAGGCTGCCGGTGGGCACCACATCTACACCATGGATGTGGATGGGCAGCCCAGCCTTGCCCAGTGTTCTGGGTCACTCCATGACTGTTTTGTGAATGCCCATTTGGAGCCACCCCTGGTGGGTTGGCCGTGTAGAGCTCGAGCAGCCCAGCCAAGACCCGCAGCTCGGGTTTGCACAGGATGAAGCTGGTGCAGAGCTGGACCCCACGGGTGGACGGTGGGAGGGACAAAGAAGCCCAAAGACATTTTTTCCTCTGGCAAAGCCTCTTGCCCTGGTGCCTTTGCATCAGTACCTTGTCCCCAGGTGGCAGCAAAACGCCACTTTCCCTTCTCTTCTCTTCCCTGAAGGCCCCTTCCACCTGTGGGCCCAGCACTGCTGGGAAATGATAAGTCACATTTTTTTTTAATTTAAACTTTAAAAAATGTAATAACAAAAATGAATGCACGGCCATTGGCCATTCATCAAAAATGAACGCACAAATAATTTGGAAGCACGGTCGGAAATTACCCCAAAGCCCGCCACCCGAGAATAACCCCAGTTAGATTTCTTCTGGTCTATATCCAGGGAGGGCATCTTATGGAGGATGGTGGCCCCAGACAGGGATTTCTGAAGAACACCCTCACCCCTGGCCAGGCCGCCCAGGCGTCTTCATGTCAATAAGTATTATCTACTGCCTGACTTGATGGCTCCCGCACACCACCTCCGCGGACGTAGCAGTGCTTCTTATGCACTGCTTAACATTTAGTTGTTCCCCATGTTTTTATTATCATAAGTAATGCTGAAAATCATAAGGGACACTCACTGCTCCCCACAGTAGGATCACTATCAGGGTACCCCCTGAGAAGTGGGACCAAGCGTCTTGCCAAAGCTCACCATGTCCAGGGACTCCTGGCTTCTGCACGGCTCACTGTATGGGCAAGCTCCCCTCCTCGGGCGAGCCAGGGCCCCACTGGACCAGGAGGCCCCGTAACTCCCATCCCTCCCTGATGATGGCCGGGGCCCTGGAGGAACAAGGCAGGAAAGGATGCTACCACAGGGCAGTGGGCTCCGCAGCCCCTGGGATGTGGCTGCCTGGACGGAAATCGCAGCGTCATCTCGCTGAGTCAGGACTACCTGGGCTGCCGGGTGCCCGGTTTCATGGTTCGCCTTGAGTTAGGGAAGGAGAAGGAGATTCTTGACTTCTGCCCAAGTTGGAGTCATTGGTGTTTCTCTGATGGCACTGGGTGAGCCACCAGTGGAGGCAGGGAGGGGATTCCCAGTAGTCAAACGGAGGCGCAGAGCCTGGACCGAAATCCCGCTGTCGTGATCAGGCGGCCGAGGCTGGAAGCCAGTTTTGGGGGGTGGGCTGTATTTTCTTTAAATTTAAATAAACATGTTAGCTTAGGACAGTTTAAGGCAAAGAAGGCACATAGCTCCCTGCCACGCCTCTGAGCTTCCTCGTGTCACTGGGATGGTTTATCCCAGTCGAGGGTCCGGGCATGGGACTCCATGTTTGCCTGGATTGGTGGCCCACCTTGCCTCGCCTCTCTTCTGTCCCAGGAGCCCACCTCACACTCAGACCTGGCATCTTTTGTCCTTGAGGCCCTTGCCACTCACCGCAGGGGTGAAGCAGGGCGCCCGCTCTCCCTCCTTGGCCTGTGCAGACAGCCATTTCTTTTTTCTTTTTAATATTTATTTTTCAGTTTTCGGTGGACACAACATCTTTATTTATTTTTTTTAATGTGTTGCTGAGGATCGAATCCAGTGCCTCGTGCATGCCAGGCGAGCGCACTACCACTTGAGCCACAACCCGAGCCCCCAGACATCCATTTCTTATGCCCCAGAGCCATTGCTGGCCTGGCCCTCTCTCTGGGACCTGGAGACATTAGTGCAGTCACCTGGATGCCGAGGACACCAAGGTACAGCCAAGAACGACTCAGAAAGCAGGGAGTTACTTCAGCCATTTGAATCCCATAGCGAGAAGCGGCTACAGCAGCTTCCTGGGTACAGAGAGCCAGGGGACCCCCATACATTGAGAGCTTCAGCTGCCCTGCTCTGCCTTGGCAGACACAGCCACCCTCGGAGAGGTGTTCCCAACACAAGAGAGGAGCAGGGTCTTCTGTTCTGTCAAACACCTGTGGGGCCCCAGGAGAATGGGCCTGGGCCACAGCCCCTCGAGGCCTCCCGTGGGCTTGGCCCCTCGCCTGCCTCCCACCTTCATGGGGACAGCCGCAGAGCCTGGTTACCAGTGGGACTCGCGGAGCTTCGCGGCCCTTGAGGGGCTCATGGCAGTCCTGTGGGCCACTGGCGAAGACACACACCTTCTGGTGCCTCCAGGCTTGAGCCGTGTGGGCTGGGGCAGCACTGCAGGGGGCATGGCCCCTGCCCGGCTGCTGGGTGGGAGGCTGAGCTCCCAGCCTCCTGGTACCGACTGCCTCTCTCCTGCCTTCTGCTGCCCTCCCGCTGCCCTTTTCCTCCTCGGGCTCCCATCTCAGTTTTACTCCTCCTGGGAATGAGATGGTGCCTCCCAGTCTGGCCCACCTTCCAGGCTGGCTGGGGAGGTCTGTCCCGCTGCATGTCCAGCTCTCCTGGACTTCAGTGCGTGCTCCACTGTCTCCCTGCAGTGGCTCCTGGAGCTCAGCCCCGGGCTCCAGATTCTCCCCTCCTCCCTCTCCTGCTTTCCTGTGGCTGGAACGCCATCTCCCTGGACTCCTGGCCCTTGCTAGGACCCCGAGAAGCCCACCATGGCCACCCCACCCCATTACTGAGCTCCTGGTCACTAGGATCACCAGTCCTTGCAGGTGGCTCCCTCTGTCCCTGGCCTCACATCACCTGTGTCCCCACAGCAGCTCCCTCCGTCCTGGTGATCCCATGTCTGCCAGGAGTGACTCCCAGGCCATGTTCACAGCACACGCTGTGCTAACAGGCCCTGGGCTCTGCAGCCACCAGCCTCAGCTGACCCTCGTGTTGATGGGGTGGGGTGTGCACTGCTAGTGCGTCTCCACACAGGTGTCCAGTAACTTGTCAGACTTCACATGGACAAGGCTGGACTCTTGAGGTCCTGGCCACTCTTCCTGCAGCATCCCCAGCTGAGGACCAGAGACAGGTGGGTGCCCTGGTCCGCAGCCTCGGAGGCTCCCTGAGGCTCCTCTTTCTCTTGCACCCCACCTTCTGCCCTGTCTGTTGGCACATCCTGGAGATGCTTGTAGCTGATAACTCCGGTCTGACTCCTCACCTTCTCTGCCACCCGGCCTCCGCATCCCTCCTGAATCATCGTGACAGCCTTCCTCCCTTCTGAGGATGCTCCCCAGCAGGCAGAAGGGCCGCCACAGTGTGGACCAGACCAGCACGTGCCCTGTGCCCCCAGGAAGCAGGAGGACAAAGGGAAGGTGCAGCACACAGGGGCTATTTCACGGCATTGGCCATAAGTGGAGAAGTTGGCTGTTGGATCTCCAGGCACCTCAGGTTTTCACTGAAGCCAGGCAGCTCCAGCCTCCAGGGCAAATTGAGAGTCACAGGAGATGGGGTACAGAGCAGGCCAGAGTAATTAGAGGGACTGGGGGTACCAATAGTGTCCCTATCATCACTAGATGGCTCAAATCTCTAGGGCCCCCACTCATGCACAGGGTCTCTGCCCCCGCTGAGCCTCCTGCCCGGCCACAGACAGACCCTCTGAGGGTCCAACACTCCTCACCTCCTGGCGACGGGGCTGGAGTCACTCTGCCGGGCTCCTTTGGCTTGCCAGACGGAGGCACTGCATCTCCCTCCAGAGCCTTCCCTGACACTCCCCCGCCTACCTTATCTCAGGCTCTGCTCCTATGTGACCTTCTGTAGGTTCACTGCAGATTCCGTCCCCCTGGAACACAGTCTCCAGGGTAGATTGTCTGGGGCCACAGCTGGGCCAGGCACTGAGCACCAAGCCTGGCCACAGTAAGTGCTCGGTAGATGTTCAGGGGCTGAATGAGCGAGCGAGTGGAGCAATCGGGAGAGGAAGCCATATGGGGTCCTGGAAGAGGGTGTAGAGCCACCGTCCCTGGACTCTGCAGGTCAGAGGAAAAGGAGGCCCCAGGACCTCCACCAAATCTGGCAGCCCTATGGCCAGGCAATGGTAGAACCAACAGGGCTGGAGGTGGTCCCAGGCTCACAGCCTGGAACCTCTGGGAACTACGGGAGGGGCTCAACTCTGCATGCAGCACCCGCTCACAGCTCACCAAGGGCTTTCTTTTTTTGAGATTCCAGATCATTAATTGTTTCCGTTCTCCTTTCCCCTTAGCCCTGAATCGGTCTGGGGAGTTTGCATCAAGACCTGGTGTCTGCCCAACAGCAGGGCCACAGCTACCCACCTCACAGTGCAGCTCGGACACTGAGTGCCCTGGGCTTCAGAAGTGCTGTCCCTGGTCAGGGGGCCACCACTGTGTGGCTCCCACACCTCACGGTAGGGCTGCTAGGAGGAGGGTCTCATGGGGAGGGGTGGGCGGGTAGGCACCTAGCAGCAGCAGCCCCAGTGCAGGTAGGGTGGCTCCTCCCCGGATCTGCTTGCTGGAGCACTGGGCAGAGCTGGGCTCTCGGTGCCCTGGAGTGGCGAGGCGCTCCTGTTGGGCAGAGACCCAGGTCTCCTGGCAGCTGCAGGTGGGCTCCTGCATGGGAAGCTAGGGCTGGATGCTCAGCAGATGTTTCAGCAACCCAACACCAAGAGCAGGTGCTGACTGGCCATGTCTGCTGGTCCGGAAAGTTCTGTCCTAACCACAGGTTATACCTAGAAGCATGGGTGGGCCAGTGTTCAGAGCTAGGGAAACAGGTGAAATAAATGTATATAAGAATCACATACAATATATAGTCCTATTAGTAAGTATATAGCCATAAAGGAATAGTATAAACAGTATCAAGTATTATTAAATACTTTGTGTTCACTATACCATTCAACGATATATTGTGGTATTTATAGTATGGTTTACATACAGTATTATATAGTATATTATGTAATACATAATTATGTATTATGCTGGTTGATATTAATAGTATAAATAGAATCCACAAAATCATGGCCCAGTGTATAATAACCCGATACATCAGTGCAACATTATACTAGCGAGGATCGCAGCATACACTTGCATCCTGCGTCTCTTTTCAAATTCCACTGCTTTGGCTCCCAGGCCTTCTGACCTGTCAGCCCCTCACAGGTTGGGGCCAGTGGTCTTCATGGCCAACGGGAGGGAGAGGAGCTGTGGGCAGGTGATTTAGGGAGGGAGGGGTGGGCAAAGGTTGGCCTCCTGCCTTCTGGCCTTCCGTCCTCACCCTACCTGTTTAGTCAGCTATTGTGATGCTATGAGTTAAAGACTTGACCAGAATAGCTGCAGAGAAGGAAAAGTTTATTTAGGGGCTCACGGTTTCAGAGGTCTCAGTCCATAGTAGGCCAGCTCTATTCCTCGGGCTTGAGGTGAGGCAGGACACCATGGCAGAAGAGTGGGGCAGAAGGAAGCAACTCACATGATGACCAGAAACAGAGAGAAAGTCTCCACTGGTCAGATACAGATTATATACCCCAAAAACACGCCCCCAATGCCCACCCCCTCCAGCCACACCCACCTGCCTCCAGCCACCACTCAGATTCCCATCAGGAATCGATTCACTGATTAGTTTAAGGCTCTTGCAACCGAATCATTTCCCCTCTGAACCCTCTTGTATTGTCTTACGTGTGAGCTTTTGGGGGACACCTCACATACAAACCCCAACACCACCAGTGGCCTCTGGTGGCCAGCCCTGCCCTGGTCCTAACTCACTGGCATTCACCCTCCAGATGCAGGTGCAGCTCCAGAGAGGAGCCGGGTGAGCTGGTACAACGTGACCATGCTGGTGAAGGTGGACTTTGTGGACCTGCAGCATGTGGACCCCGGGCTGCAGAACCACACGCGCCTTCTGTGCTCCTTGGTGGGTGGTAGGCGGAGAGGAGCTGGGGGTGGGACAGGGAGGGGGACGTCTCATGAGTGGTTCCCAAATGACAGGCTCTGAACCAGACTGGAATTCTCAGTTTAAAGATACCAGCTTCAAGCTGGGCATCGTGGTGCATGCCTGTAACTCCCATGGCTCGGGAGGCTGAGGCAGGAGGACCACAAGATGAAAGCCAGCCTCAGCAACTTAGTGAGGCCCTAAGTAATTACGTGAGACCTAAATAAAAATAAAATAAAGGGCTGGGGATGTAGCTTAGTGATTAAGTACTCTTGGGTTCAATCCCTGGTACCCAAAACAACAACAACAACAACAACAACAAATTACCAGCTTCAGAGAGATACAACCCACTTGCCATCAAAGGTCTATCGAGAAGCACAAGGGGTCCCACCATTCTAGGGGCTGGAAGTCCAAAATCAGAGTGTTGGGGATCCGGTTCCCTCTGGGCACTGCAAGGGCTCCAGGCCCCTCCTGGGCTGTGTGGCGTCCTCTCCAGTGTTCCTCGGCACCGCCTTCCCTCTGTGTCTGGCTCTGGGCTCAAGTTTCCACTGTTGATGAGCACACCAGGATTATGGGATGGGGCCTGCTCTGATGAGCTCACCTTCACAAGTGACATCTGCAGCAAAACCATCTCCAAATCAGGGCACAGTCAGGGGCCAGGGGTGCAAGTTGGAGGGCACCGTTCAGCCCACCACCGCTGCTGCTGCGAAGGCCGTGTGAGTCTGGTCTGCAGGGCTTTCACTGGGAGGGTCACAGTGCAGAAGTCCTGCCACAGTGCTCTCTGTGGAGCAGAACAGGGGATGTGTGTGCCTGTGGTTCCAGCTTCTCCCACCTCGGGTTCCCTGTCAGGCTGAAGAGGATGTCTCTCTGATGCTCTGATTCCAGGTCACCAGTGCCTTGCAGCTGCTGGACCCCGCTGTGCACTACCTGAGCTCAGCCAGACAGGACCCCTCCACCACACTGTCATGGCTGCTGCTGGGTCTGCCTCAGCTGCTGCCGGTGGCCAAGGTCTCCTCTATGCTGAATGACATCGTGAAGCGGGTCTATGAAGTGGTCAGCATCCAGGTGCAAGGTTGGTCTTCTTGCCCGAGTGGTCCAAATACAGGCTAGCTAAGGTCAGAGCCAGTCCTGCGCACTGGCAGGCAGGGATCCCCATGCCCAGTGTGTTCCTCCTGCCAGGGTGGTGGTGGGCAGTGGTGGGTGGAGGTGGGCGGTGGTCCTTCTGCCTAAGCCAAGGTTAAACTCAGGTCCCAAGCACAGGTTCAGAGACCTTCCCTCCCCTCTCTCCTCCAAGCCTTCCTCCTCCCTGGGAGGCCTCTCCTTCCGTCCAGGGGCCCCCGAGTGCAAAGCCTAGAGCACACTCCAGGAGTGTACTCTTCCAGTTCTTGGGCTCCTAAGTCTCGCTCTGGCCTCCTTCCCACCTTCGACAAGGGCGTCTTTCCCCCAGGAGGCTCTAACAGCAGAATTTGTGCACAGTTGAATTTTCACTTGCTGAGGCCCTCAGCTGTGGCCTTGATTCCAGGATAAATGACAGGGTGCTTTTTAGTTGATGACAGAGGTTGGCAAAGTGTTTTCCTGAAAAGGGACACAGAGTCAATATTTTTGGTCTCGTGGGCCACATGGTCTCTGTCTCAGCTGCCCAGCTGTGGCCCTATAGCATGAGCAGCCGCCATGGCACAGAAGCAAAAGGCGGGGCCAGTCCAACCCTTTCTGAGTTGGGAGCAGGCGGCATGGCCCAGCTCACAGGCCCTGGGCGGGGCTGCTCCCCTGACAAAGCTTGGCCTGGGACGCTGAAGGTCAGCCTGAAGGAGCCATGAACACTCCGGGGATTGCACTACCTTTCTTTGCAAGGCACGGATGTTCTTGGAAACCAAGCCAGGCTGGCGCAGGGCCAACGGTCCGAGTGCTGGGGTGTCGTGCCCACGCCCTCAGCTAGTGGTCATGGGAGCACACCTGGCCAGCAAGTGGTTTACCCCTCGAGGCTGCAAACCTACTGCAGGATGTGGATTTGACTGGGTGCTTTGGGGAGGGTATAAGGAAGCAAGTTTGTTCTAGACTGAAGTGGAACAGTGGTACGACTGGGTAGCTCAGTAAGTCTCATCTATGGGATGTGAAGAAACTGCACAAAGATGAGCCTTAGAGGGAAAGACTAATGATCCCATAGTGTGGCCGAGAGAGGGGGGTCTGCGCTTTGTGGGTGATGCGTGAGCTAATTCCTGTTGGCGCTTAGAGACTCCAGTGAAGGGGCCCAGCTCTGCCTGGCTTTGTCCTGGGCACAGAGCGGCCTTGCCCTGAGGTCAGTGTTCTGGGGGATGGTGTCTGCCTGATGGGAGGATAACAGGGCCACCGCGAGTGCCAGGCCCACTCAGAACATCCAGGGTGGCTCCAGTTTTCTTTCTCATTCAGAAAACTGCCCAGGCACGTGGTTTATTCTGGGGTCCCTCATTTCATGACCACTCACTCCGGCTCAGGCCACAGAGGCTGCCCAGGGCGTGAGGTGCCTGGTGAGGGTGTGAAGCCCTGCCTGCAGTGGGCAGCTGGGAGGACACGTGTGGCGCCCCACGGGAGGGCGGAGGTATGTGACGGGCCGCCCTGACCTCTCTTTCTCAGACGTGGACGAGTGCTCCCACCATGGGCTCCATGCCTGCTCTGGAGAGGAGCTGTGTGTGAACGGGGAGGGCTCCTACCAGTGCGTCTGCCCACAGGACTCCTCGGCCTCGGCTCCCCAGAAGCTGAACGGCACGGGCAAAGGTAAGACGGGGCTCCCCAGATGGCATGCGCCAGGCTGGGGTCTAGGGGAGGGCTGAACCCTCCCGGTGCTGTCTCCTCTGCCCAGGTCTCCTGGCGGTCACTCTCGCAATCATTCCTTGATCTAGCAGATGACTGTCCAGTGCCACCCACTGCCCCGTTGCTGGTGAAAGGGGCGGGCACCAGCTGGCAGTGGTCGCCCTGGGGAACCTCCCGTGGTTGTTAGGCGTGGGCTGGTGTAAGGGGGATGGTCTTGAGTCCCTGGAGGGTGAGGGCATGTTGAGACTTAGGCTGGACCACCGGCAAGAGCTGGCACTGACCCTGGCTTTGCCTGGGCAATCTAGGGGCAGAAAGTGTGTTGGGTGCTGGCAGAGACACTGAGAAGGGACAGCCTGGCTCTGTCCTGTTGGGGATATCGGAGGCTGGGGTGTCCCAGGTGCTGTCTATGTGACTGGCTTCTGCCAGCCCAGGGCTTATAGTAAGAAATAACTGTACACAGTGGTTCCCCCTTATCCTTGGTTTCATTTTCAAGGGTTTGCATTCACCTGTGATCAGCCACATTCTGAAAATATTAAGCAATTCCTAAATTTTAAATTATGAGCCTTTCTGAGTAGCACGATGAGCCTTCTGTTCCACTCCATCCCACCCAGGACGCGGAGTGCCTCTGTCCTGTGTCTCCACACTGTATGCGCTACCCACCATTAGTCACTTGGTGGTCCTCTCCGTTCTCAGGCCGCCTGTCACAGTACTGCAGTGTTTGTGCTCAAGGTATCAACAGTCGAGTGACATCACAACGCCGACGTCACTCTCCCCCGTTCATCCCATGTGGCACTGTGCCATCTCACATCATTCCAAGAAGGGCAAATATGATGCAGTCAGACACTGTGATGAGACAGAAAACATCCCAGGATTTATCATAGTGTGTTGTTCGGGTGGTTCCATTTTATTGGTTGATCTTCTACGTTGGTTCTGGAGCAGGAACCCCCTTCTACTGTACCCGGGCTCCTTTGTCCCCGTCATTCCCTCTCCCTGCGGGCTGGGTGGTCATATCACTCCATACCAGGAGGGACACCGAGTGTCCCTTGGGGTTCAGGAGGGCTGCTGAGAGAGTGTCCCCTGTAAGAACATGCCACACGTGGCCAAGGCCCTGAGGCCTGGCTGACCTCCTGGTGGCTAGGGAAGGAGGAGCAGAGATGAGCCTGGCTCTGAGATGGGCCCCAGGGCTGCTGGCCAGGGCTGCCGTCCCTGTGAGGAGTGACCCGAGGGGCTCAGGGCCTCCGGCCTGACCTTCCCTGGGCTGCATGGCTGGAGGGTGTCCCTGAGACTGTGGCCTGTCTATTTCTGTCTGAGCCCCCACTCTGCAGGCCTGTAGGGGTCCAGGGTCAGTCCTCTTGAGCTGGAATGGTCTACCCACTGACAGGAGGGAGCGCAGGGGAAGAGGCCTGTGCCCTCTTCATTGCTGGAAGCGTCCTGGTGCAGGGGCGGGCACTGCAGTAGTTCTGTGCCACTGCGTTCTAGTAGCATCGTCAGGCGATGGCTTCAGGGTGGGCCCTCACACAGCCCTCAGCTGGGCAGCTACGTACCCTGTGGTGCAGCCCCTGAAGGAGGTGTGGACGCTGTTGACCCAAACGTTGATATGCAGGGCACAGCTGCATTGGCTGTTTCCATTAAAGGAAATCTGGAGTGGTAGCCAATCCTGGATCTCCAGGTGAAAGGAAGGAAGGAAGGAAGGAAGGAAGGAAGGAAGGAAGGAAGGAAGGAAGGAAGGAAGGAAGGAAGGAAGGAAGAGCCGACAGCCCAACTCTGGCAATCAATCACTCCTCTGCCACTGCAACTCACGACTTTGGGGATGCCATTAGAGCTGCACCCCACACAGATGCACCCCACGCCTGTGTGGAACCGCAGACGCCACAGACTTCCCAGTTGTAGATCCCAGGTCAAGAATCCCCCCTTTAGTGAGAACACAGGTTGAGATATGGTTATTTTTACTCTGGGCAGTAATCTGGAAAAATATTAGGCTCTATTTACAGTTAGCAATGCCGCCAGCCCAGCTCCGCCGAGCCCGCCAGTGTAGAGCGTTGCCAGAAGGCCGCCAGCCCCGCTTCCCTTCCAACAGGGCAGGACAGACAGCTCCAGCACGTCCAGACCAGAGTCTGGGGAGTTCCAGTTGCGCACTGCTAAGGAATCAGCATGTGTTTTAAATTTAGATGCTAATCTGAATGAGCAATCCCCTGGAATGGCTAAGAGGTACAGTCCTTGGAAAATACAGCACAAATCTCAGATATTTTTCTTGTGAAATTCGTCACTCAATTAATGACACAGGGCAGCTGTATTCTTGAACTTACCAAAACCCGTGAGGAATGGCCACAGTCCACACTTAATGTTCCAGGAGCGGGGTCCCTCTCCCATTGGCCTCCATCCTCAACTGGAGGCCCCCAGCTGTCCAGCTCCCTGAGGAGGGGTCTCCTGAACCTGGGCTTGGCTGGCAGGGGGTCAGTGGCAGCAGCAGCAGAGTTGGCGAGGAACAGCCGCCCAGGCTTGCCCCAGCCAGGCTCTTGGCTCCAGTCAGCTTTCCGTGGCGTGCTCAGGACTTCAGCCCTGATCCATCCCCCCTGGTTCTGTATTCATGAGGGTCGGGTGCAGGCAGGCAGGCCCAGGGGGAAGGGAACTGAGTCTGACACCCACCATGACAGGCTGTGTCCCAGCACGATTTCCTGAGCAGCTGGAGGGTAGGGCTGCTGGGAGCAATGAGAGCCCAGGCCCACAGACAGGAGTCTGAGGTACCCCACTGAGAGGGGGGTCAGGGCCAGGATATGCCCCCAGCTATGGGGTGGGGAGAGCCCTGCAGCAGGGACCTCGCTGCCTGCAGTCACAGGATCCAGGTTGCCCCTGCCCACGGACCATGCCCGGAGTCAAGGACTGAGTGGTGACATTTGGGGTCACATTTTAAGAAGGAAAAGCTGGAATAAGCAGAGGAGGGTGTCCTGGCTAATGAGGGACCTCAAACCCAGTTCCAGGGGCTTATCCCAGGAGACAGAAGGCCAGGTGCAGAAGGAGTAGCCTTAGGGGAGGGCGCAGAAGCGCGTTAGCTCAGGATGTCAGGAGTTGGTCATTTTATAGCAAAATGAGGAACTTTCTCCTGTGTGCTGTGCCAGTCACAGGACGGCTGCCTCAAACACTGCTGGAAGCAGAGTCAGGAGGTTCCTGAGTGTCCTGTGGCTGCTGTGACAAAGTACCACACGCTAGGTGGCTTACGCAGCAGGAACGAGGTCTCCCACACTTCTGGAGGCCTGAGGTCCCAACAGGTACCAGCAGGGCTGGGCGGGGCTGTGCTCCTGGGGAGCGTCTCTGCCTGCCCTCCCACCTTCGCCTGCTGCGGCCAGCATTCCTGGCCTGTGGTCACGTCGCCAGCCTTCAGGGCCACTGTCTTCAGGTCTTTCTCTGCTCTTCTGACACTTGCAGTTGCATTTAGCACCACCCTGGGCAATCCAGGACACTCTCCCCATCTCAAGACCCTCAGCTTACATCCACCTGCAAAGACCCTTTTCCAGAGAGCCGGCAGTTCCTCAATCATTATGTGGCAACTGTGGCCAATGGCTTAGGAGTCAGCAGGGAACTGTCAAGTCAACAGCCCTGCCACTTAGGGCTTGACCTTTCTGGTCACCTCTGTGAGATGATGTCACAGAAGAGCCTCTTAGCTGGGATGGTGGCAAGAGGTACATGGGGCACCATGACTGGCCCAGTGACAGCTTGGACCGAGTGTGGCATGCCTGTGTTGTTCTACCTCACAGGCTTGCAACCGGAGTGAACTCCCAGCTCCATGGCAGTGTCCCTGCACCCCTGGAGGCTGCCTGGGGAGGACCCTTCCTTGTGCCTGTCAGGCATTGCTGTGGCATCACGTAGCTCTCCCTGTGTCTGTGTCAGTGTGGGTGCATAGTAGATGCTCAACAAACCTCAAGCCTCTGAAGCTGCCTCTGTTGCTGGTGGAAAGCCTTTGAATGGGGGATATTGCAAGTTTCCCAAGGCAATCAATTGGAGAAGGAGCTGCACAAATATTCAGAGGTAGCATCAGCCTTAAGGGCTGCATTTCTTTGGGTGGGAAGGGATTCTCTTTCTCCTAGAGCTCATTTGCACACAGGAACACAGAAGCTGCCATCTGTGGACGCCTTGAGGTCTCACAGCCTTCAAGGTTCTAGGTTTGCAGCCTCAACCCAACAGTCCAAGAACCCTTGGCTTTTCATTGAAAGACTGAGCGTAGGTTATTAGGCGCCATGTGCATGGTCTTCCCAGACCTCTTCCCAACACCACCCTCTGAGTCATGTTCCTTCCACCCTGCATGGAGACACTCTCAGAAGACACTCTGGGGTGGCCCTCAGTACAGAGAGGTCATCTTCTGTTGCATGTCAGTTGTGATTTCCCAGCAGCAACAAGGAGACAGGGACTGTGTGCTGCTGCTCAAGCTTCCAGACTGGCCCTGGGCCCCATCAGGTCTCAGGCCACACCTGGTCCCCCAGCCACGTGGAGGAAAAAGTGCTTGGTGCCACCTGTGTTGACTGTACAGTCAGAATGTGCAGCAGATTTTCAGAAAAGAAGTCGGGCCCTTCCCCAGTCTCTGAGTGAGACACGTGCTCCCAGGTCACAGACTGACGTGCAGTGCCGTTGCCGGAGGCTGGGCCGGGGCTCCAGCGACTGTGGATCTGGGGGGAGGCCTGCACTGTCAGGACCCAGATTGCAGGGAAGCAGTCAGGACCCTGCCCTCGGGGAAGCCTGCCCTGCTTCTCCCGCTGCAGAGGAAGACGTCATCAAGGGTGAACCTCAGTGTCTACGTCGACTTCTGTGACAAAACGCAGAAAACCACTGGGTGATCCAGTAAAAGAAGAGTCAGGTCTTTTAAAAAATATGCTTCCTGATTCTAGGAATGTCATGAGGAAGCAGTAAGAGTCTGGGAGGATTCACTGATCCTGATCCCAGGCACAGGGAAGGGAGGCCTCTCAGCATTTGTACCCACCACTTGGAGGAGGGTCTGTGAGGCTCCCCGAGGGGAAGGACCGACACACGGGATTATGAAAGGCAGCCTGGTGCTTGGCTGGAAGGAGGCAGCAGGGCCATGTCAGAGGACTATGGCGGGGCACTAAGCTTGGTTCTGGGCTTCTTGGCAGCCAAGGAGAAAGGGGAACTGGGTTGTATTGGTTTGTTGTTTTTGTTGAGAAGAAGCGTATGCATGTGTTGGGAAGGACAGAATTTTTTCACGATACTAGAAAGTGTGTATTCTATGAGTCCTTACAAAAGGGCTTTGAGGAATCGCATAGCTTGGAAATTTATTTTCTTTACTATGGTTTTACAAAAAATTTTTTTCCAAGTGTCCTCATTGATGCTTTTTATAGAACCAAAATTCTGACCTGAAGACGCTGCTGCCTGCCTGCAGGCCACCTACTTTACATGCAGTTCCCACTCCCAGATGGCTGCTGGAGAGCCAGGCTCTTCCCACCCAAAATAGAGCTTTAATTCCAGCTGAGGACCAGAATAGATGTCGGGCGGCACGTTGGCGTTTTGCTCCCTGAAGCTTGGATTTCGATAGGAAAGCACAAAGGGGTATGGAGCAGACTCCGATGGACCCCTGAGGGCTGTGTCCTGATGGGGCCGTGGTCCAGTGGATGACTGGCTGGAAGCAGAAGTCCTGTGCAAGCCGTCAGGCTCGTGGGAGTCCGTGTGGCCCGCAGCCCTGAGTGGGTGGAGGCAGGGTCCCGGCCACAGCCCTGCAGCCTCGCCGGCAGTGGCCTCAATGAAGATGGTTTCTGTCTGTGCCACCGTCCCCACGGTGCTCTGCCTCCTGGTAACCACCAATTCTGAATCACACTCAAGCCACACGCGCAGAGCCGTGGTGTAGACCGCGAGCCCTGGGTCGGGGCCCTCTAGCTTGGCTCAGTGACATGGGGGCTGCGACGTGAACTTCAGGCTTCTGTTTGCTTTCTCCTTCCTTCATCTCAATACCCAGCACCATGAGGCCATCCAGAACTACCTTCCCCAATCCCTGGCAGGGCCTGGGCCCTTCGTGGGACGTTTCCAAGGGAGAGGGTTGCTGCCTCTTTTTTGAAGTAACAGGTTTGATTCAAGGTTGGGAAAAATGTCACGGTGGACCTGCCTTGGCCCACTGGACTCGGCCCTGGGCTGAATGGAGGTGGGGCTTCTTGCTGCAGGGAAGGTGGACCACCCTCCCTGAGGCTTGTGCACACCCATGCTGCCCTAGATTGTCCTCCGATCCGTGACTACGTGGCCCTCAACGTCACCAGCAGCAGTTTCCGGGTGTCCTGGGGTCTGAATTCCACCCAGAACCACACCTTCCACGTCCAGCTCCAGCGGGGTGAGCTGGTGCTCAGACGCGCCTGGACCAGCGACCTGGGCCTGGAGGTGGCTGGGCTGGAGGCCGGGGTGCTGTACGGTGTGAAGACCAGCTACCAGGGCTGCGGGGCCAACGTCTCCGCCTGGCTGACCGTCAAGACAGGTAAGGCCGGGCCAGAACTCCAGGTGATCTTGCGGACTTTTCTTGCTATCCCAGTTACACAGTCCCCACACATCATGTTGTTCTTCCTGTAATCAGGCCACCAGAGGTCACTACCTAACTGCAGCCTCCCTGTCCCCCTGAGCTTCCTAGAGCTTGGCAGGCTGCCTCAGGGCCCTCCACAGGCTCCCGTGCTCCCTGCATGTCTCCTCCAGGGCTCACTCTGACGTCTGAGGGGACGGCCTGGGGCTTCTGGGGCCACCTTTGTGGCACATGCAGGGTCATTGAGTGGACAGGCCAAATGCAGTAACACGAGGACGGAAGCAGGCAGTTCCCACAGGGCTGTCTACAGGTCTCCCCGCCAACAAAGCTGAGCTGCACGCTCGAGTCTCCACAACCACACGTGCCCCACTTCCCATGTGACACACGTGTGCTGACACAGTGCACACCCCTGTGCCAGGAGGCCACTTTCCCCATACCTAGGTGACACCCTCACAGCTAGAACTCAGGGTTGGGAGGTGGCTGGTGTGGCCTGCCCAGCTCTACCTGCTCGTCCTCACCCTGGGGGTCACGGTAGTGTGCAGACCTTGGTCTGGCTAGGTGTCAGGGTGGGCGCTCTCCCCCAGGCTGGCCTTTGTGGCTGTGGGTTGTGAGGTGAGGAGTGCATCCGAGACGTTCTACTCCTGTGTCCCATGTGTGTGCCCTCAGCCTGGATCAATGGGAGCTCCAGGCTGGGGGTCAGGCTCAGAGCGTGGTGAGCACTGAAATGGCTTCATAAGGAGCCTGCTGGGGTCTGTCCAGTGCACAGAGATCCACACAGCGACAACAGCTAGGACTGCGGGTGAACGAGCGGCCCCGATGACTCGGCCTATGCCCCTGACGAACAGATTCAGGGCCAACCCCATGCAAAGTCATCCCAGCACACAGGGTGGGCACCCAGAGGCCCCCAAACCCCAGCATGCAAAGCCTTGACTTGGCGCAGAGTCTCTAGTTTCCCAGGACCCCCTCCATCTCTCCAGGACAAGGGGAGGGACCTCTCTTTTCCCTGGTGGAAACCGAGGCCTGAGAGATGGTCACTGACCAGGGAATCTTCTCATATCCATCTGTTATTCACACTCCTTCCACCCATGGCCGCCCTCTGTGATGCAGAGCTCGCTCCACTGGGACAGATAGTAGGCATTTGCAGCTCCACCCACCACCCCAGGCCCTCATGAAAAAATATCTATGTGCCCATGCTAGGGAATGGTAATTCAGAAGGTTCTAGAAGACTTCTGAAGAGTCAGCCTCTTCCACTCTCCAGCCTTGATTTCTTTCTTTCTTTATGTTGCAAAATGCCTTTTGTCGGTAGAGGACTTCTAGAGTGCTCTCTTTGCTTAACGTTGCATTTCCAATGTGGCCTCTATGCCATCTGCATGTTGGGTGGGTGAGACTGCAGCAGCGGTCACCCAGAGCCTCTGGATGCAATCTGGCTTCCAAGGCCCTGGGGAAGCTGAACATCCTCAGGGCTCAGCAACTGCATCTTGTGATGCTGACCAGGCAGAGGTAGGAGGGGCTCGCATTAAGGCCCGAAAGCCAGGGCGAAGCATGGGGGTCTCTTGCTAAGATGGGGGGCCCAGCCTGGAAATATCTGGGGTTTCACATTCTGGGTTTCAGTTACCTGCAATCAACTGTGGTGTAAAAATATGAAAGGGGAAAATTCTACAAATAATTTGCAAATGTTGAATAACTTCTATTACAGCATGTTGTTATAATTCTATTTTATTATTAGTCATTGTTCCAGTTCTTTCTGTGCCTGATTTGTAGCCTAAAGTTTATCCTAGGAGTGTGTGTGTGTGTGTGTGTGTGTGCTTCGGGGGTGCACTGGGCCTCCTGGGAAGTCTTGTTTGGGTCAGGGGTCTGTTCACATCCTTGGTGAGCTTTGCGTGCCCTCAATCCTGGTGTGCACAGGTGATGGACAGCGTGATGACCTCATTGGTCCTAAAGCTTGCTAACCGAGCTGAGCCAGGGCAGGGTCAGCTAGCTGCTGTCCACACTCAGCGGCACTCAGAGAGGCAGCAGGGCCTGTTTCCGATGCTCCTGACCTTTTGACTGTGCACGTGTCAGTTTTACTCTCATGATGAAAGTGACATGAGTCACCCTGTCCCATCTGGAGTATTTTTCCCAGCATAAGAGTAACAGCAACCTTTATTGCTGATGATAGTTTGCCCAGGACAGAGGCAGGGCTCTCAGCACTGAAACCGGGAAGATTCCAGCAACCAGGGCCAATTTGTCACCCTAATTTTGGGGGCCTGGGTGGGGATGCAGCAAAGAACCTGGTTGGGCCTTGTGGTTCTGAAGAGGCAAAGGGAAGCAGCAGTCCCCTGGGGAAGGATAGTTGAAGGGGCCTTCCTACCCCACAGGTGCTGGTTGACCAGTTCCTGTTGGAGTGGACTGTGCGGTTTGCACCTGGCTCCTCAGTGTTCCTATCCTGGCCATAAGTGTGGCTTAAGTTAATCAGTCCTTTCACTCCATTGCAGATATAAACATGATAAATAAAACTTCCCAGTTTGAGCTCAATCTAAGGTTCATGCCTTGATCTATTTAAAAATAATCTTTCCTCATCAAAAAATAGACTTTCTAGAAAACTGACAGAGAAGCAGGTGACTTTGAATCCCAGGATTTCAGCTACTCTGCATCACTGTCTGTCTCAGATGCCCAGGTTTTTGGACTTACAATAAGGATCGTGAACTGCAACCTGACGGAGCAGGTACTCAACTATAGCAGCGTGGAACACAGGGACTTCTCCCGACAGCTGCTGCAAGAGGTAAAGCCAGATGTGGTCCCAGACTCCTCACCTGTGTCCTCTGGGCAAGGACCACCCATGGGAGGGCATTATGCCCAGCTCCTCCCCTGTGGTCATGGCAAAATCACATGTCACTGCAGCCTTAGGCAGGCAAGCCCAAATCACACAGTCATGGCTGACCGCACCCAACCCTGTCCCTGAACAATCTGTCTTCAGAATCTGTGCTTTGATGGCAAGGTCTACACCACTTGAACACACAGCTGGATCTGCTGTTGAAGCATCTGCATGGGAACCTGTCTTTCTGCAATGGCGTAGCTTCACCAGGGAAGCATTTACCAATCATCTCAGCATCCCTTCCTCCTTGTGGCTAACAGGAGATGTCCAGTGCGCAGCCTGGGAGTCAAAGCCAAGTTAAATACTATCTATCCATAGATGTTGAGCTGGAGAGGAAGTGGCTTACTAAATCACCAAGAATTATGAAAGGACTGAGTTTTTACCTTTCTTGTGAATGAATAGGCTGCTGCCACAGTGTCATAAAAGACAAGAGATTGCTAGGTCAGAGACAGAGCCCTTGTCATTCCCAGAACTGCAAGTGCCTGAGCATGATGTTGGGCCCTTTTGGCTCTGTTGGGTGTACAGGTGGATGGATGATGCCCATCAAGGGGGTCCAGGTCACAGCTGAGGAACCCCACATTTAGGGAACCCAGATCTTTTATAATAGGCTGCACGCAAAAATGCCTAAGCCTTTCTTCAGAAGGAGATGTTATCTTTGTTATACTGGACAGTAAACAGAGGGAGCCACCATTACTGTCTCCCAAGGCTGCTCATAATATAAACACCCTTGGAAAGACAGTCTGGAACAAAAGGGCAGTTAGTGCCTCTGTTTGCAGGATGTGTGGAAACGCAAGAGCCTCACAGGATGTTGCTTCCCAGTATGCGTCTGCAGGGGGAAATTAGCTTTTGAGGGTTCTCAGAAAACTCTTTTCCAATGTTAATTTCTTTGAGCTCACAGGAACTGAGTGGCAGAAGGTAGGAGGTAAGGCTGGTGTCTTCTTTGATAGAACATAGGTGTCCCTGAGCCCTTGGCTCTGTCTGTGTATTTTCTGGAGATACAGCCCAGTAATGAGGGGAACAGCTCCAAATAGCCATGGAGACTCTTCCTTGGTATTCTTCTCTGTTAATCGATCAGTCCCTCAATAAATCCAACAGTCTATCTGACTCTCACCCACATATACAAATTACCTGCATGCTCAACTTCAGAACATCCAGAGTGGATGGTTCATCTGATGCTGCAGGTCTGGAAGGTTGACTGTAGAGGTCACTCTAGGTTCTCCAACAAGACCAGGTCAGGCTCGACTGACTCAGGGAAAAACGCCCTGTCTGAGCCCTGTCGCCTCTTCTTGGCTAGGTCGAGAACTCCTTCCCACCAGCAGTTTGTGACCTTTACCGACGTGGGAAGCTGAGGATGCAGATGGCGTCTCTCCAGGTGGGGAGCGTGGTGGTGAAGCTGAGGCTCACAGTGCAAGACCCCGAGTTTCCAGTGGGTGTCTCCACCCTGGCTCCCCTGCTCCAGCTTCTGCCTTCAAGCACAGTGTTCCAGATCGACCAGCAGGGGACGGCCGTGCAAGGTACGCCTGGGACTGTGCCGCCAGGATGTCCCTCTGGTGTGGTTGTGGTCTAGGAGACTTTATTTTGAGTCAACCTTTCTTTATCCAAAAGGAAATTTTCATCTGTTTTTCTCCTTAAGAACCAGGGGCCGGGGCCAGGCCCCCCACTCTGCACCCCATCCTCATGGCTCCAGGTAGGAGGAGGTGCCGGGGAAGGCACTCTGAGACAGCGCTTATTCCCTCTGGATAGTGCCTCTTGTCAATTGCAGGCCCAGGATATTGAGGAAAATGGGGCCGGGGGTCCACCTGGGGGCCGGGAATGGGCATTCCCTGTGACTGGTCAGGGCCCGCGTTGCAGGTGTCTGTGGAAGTTTACCCGTGGGCCTATTTGATTAGCTCACAGACCATTTCATTTTACTGATGTTGCCTTGAAGCAAGAGAGACAGACACACAGAAAAAGTGTCATAAAGAGAGATAAAGACAGACAGAGACAGAGAGCCTCACAGAGAGAGAGAGAGAGACAAAGATAGTGGTAGAGACAGAGAGAGACAGAGACCGGGAGAGACGAAGACATAGACATGGAGCCAGTGACACAGAGACTGGAAGTGGAGGCAGAGACGAGACAGTCAGAGACACACAGAGAGACAGGGCAGAGACAGGGCGTCGACTGTGGGGCCAGCTTTGCTGTTTCCCAGCAGGGCCTGGCTTTGACCCACAGTGGGACACAGTCTCTGCACCCTGGGCCTCAGCTGGGCGCCAACCACAGAATGGTATCCCCCGGTGGCACTGGGCCTAGGAGGAGCACATTATCCCCCTGAGCTCAGTGGTGTGCTGGCCGCCCCAACTCTCCCCTGCCCAGGAGTGCAGGGGGCCATGGCTCATGTACTTGAAGCCACTCCTGGTGTCCCGTGCTCAGTCTGGGGGTCACTCGGTTCACTTGGTGCCCTCAGAGATGGATGTGCTGCAGGGTCCTGCCTGGCTGGGCTGTGGGGTGAGGGCCAGCAGGAGCAGGAGTCCCGTAGCAGGGTCCTCAGTGCATGCCCTGCCCCTCCCTGAGACCAGACCTTCAGCTGAGCCAGCCCTGCCTCCCCTGACTTAGGCACCAGGGCCAGGCTACTCCAGATCTTGGTCAGATGGACCTGGAGTGTGAGGGACATAGTGGTCTGAACCATGCCCCCAGGAGTCATGGCTATTGGAACTTCAGAATGTGACCTTGTTTAGAATAATGTTCACAGACGGCCTGAAAGCAAGGAGCTCAGAATAAGATCACCCTGAGGTGAGATGTAGGGTGGGCCCTAAATTCAAGAACAAGGGTCCTCAAAAGAGACAGAAAGCAGAAGCCCACGCAGGCCGGGAGGGGGCCATGGGAGGACGAAGGCTGGAGGGCGTCCCCCGGTGAGGGAGACGCCTGGAGCCAGGAGAAGCTGTGCCAGGCAGCAGGAGGGTCCCCCAAAGCACAGGGTCAGCTTGGCCTCCAGAATGGGGACATGAACTGGAGCTGCCGATTGGTGATTGCTGTTATGGTGGCCACAGGACGCAGTGGGAAGAAGACGGGCCTGTGTTTCTGACATCCCCTAAGTCAGTAGAGAGTGCCCCCCAACTGTTCCCTAGAAGTTCCAGAAGCCCCTGGACGTTGCTAAGTGCCCCTGACAGCAGGCTGCTGAGCCAGCATTTCCTGCTGAGGGGTCACTGTGGGGTGTCCCCCTCAGTTGTCTCTTTGGTCTATGGATGACGAGGCCGCAGGCTGTCTTTTGTCAGGGGAGGTGGCCCTGCCTTGGACAGTCTTCTGACTCGGGAACCAGTGGCTTCCCTGGACACGGGAGCAGCAGAGCAACTAGAGGACACAGTCTCCTCCCCAGGGAGGCCAGCGCCCACTGTGGAGGTCCGTCTCCCCACCCTGAGAGAGCCCCACCGCAGGCCAGGAGGGGCACAGACCGTGCCTTCTGGGACAAGACCTGGCACTCCTGGGAGGAAGGAACAGTGTCGCTCAGGTTCATCAGGAAGCAGTCCTGGTGGAGTGGCCGGAACGTTCCAGGTCATTTTGGAGCACTTGCTGCCCGTGGGTCAGCGTGTCCCAGTCCTGACCCTGGAGGCTGACAGGAGCCTACGTGGGGCCATTAGATGTCAGGACCTCTTCTTTGCCCTTAGCCTGTCCGTCCTGAGTCTGCCACGTCCTGGGCAGGGCGATGGAGGGAGCAGAGTGCTGCCCCTGCTCGGGCTCCTGCCCCGTCCTCACCTGCCCAGCCCACGGGTGCAGAGCCCCCACAGCTCCTTCTGCAGCACACCTGCCTTCTCCTCTGTGCCGGGAGCCGGCTGGCCTGGCTTCTGTATGAGACTGAGTAACCCTGCCCACGTGTTGCTCTGGGCTTCCTGTGAGCCACCAGCAGCGGGCAGCCGTGCTAGGTGAGTCACTGCACACTAAACATAGATCCAGGTGCCTGGTGGTCTGTCTGGACTGGGCCTCCGCTCCCCTCCACGGCCTGCTCCCGTCCAGCCTGGCTCCGCCCCCAGCCTGGTGGCTCAGGACAGTAGCACTTCAGGTAGGCATGTGGCTGTGGCAGTACCGTAATGGCAAAGTCACCCAGCAGGCCACATGTAAGTGGTCTGTAGCTGCGCAGCAGGTAGCCACCTGGCTGACCTCCATGAAGACAGCAGGAGGCGGACCTGAGACACCGCAGCTGGGCTTCCCCAGCCGCACAGCTGCCTTTTCTTGGCTTCAGCCCCTGCCAAGTCGGAGCTCTGGCAGGCTGGGCTGGGTCATTGCATTCCTGGGAAACTCCACCTGCAGCTTGATACGCATGCACAGACCGGGGGCAGCCTGGCCCTCCCTGGCCTCTGCTCAGCCCACCTCCACCCCGGGGGCACCGCAGACTTCCTGGTCCGGCTGCCCTTCTAGTCGAGGTGGCTCCTCTCAGAGCCCTCCCTGGCCAGCAGGCCCCATCTCCAGCTTACCTCTCAGCCCAGAGGTTTCCCTGTGGGCAGTGACCCACAGACTGGCTCCTGGACTGAAGGACAGACTTGTAGGGTCATGGGGAAACTGCCCTTGACCCCAGCTCTTCCTGGCCACAAATCCAGGTGAGGGTTTGCTCCCTAAGATCTCCTTCGTGCCCGTCTGGGCTTGTGTTAAAGAGCAGGGACCAGCACATTCTTCACCAGAGCAGGTGGAAGATGGGGTGGCAGCCCCCGGGTGGAAAGCAGGAGGTGGGAGGAAGAGGAAGGATCCCAAAGGGATATCTAAGAGCAATGCATTCACACCTACCTGAAAGAGCCACCATTCCCTGACCCCGCCCCAGCAAGCCGGCCCAGGTGAAGGCCAGCAAGGCGTCCATCTGTCGGTCGGCTCGTCAGGCTGGAGGTCAGGCTTCCAGGAGGGGCTCTTGCTCCTGGGTGCTGGACTCCGTGGTGTTTGGCAGACTCTGCCTCTCCCCCAGGAGAACAGTCCGGAAGTGTCTGGCCCGTGTCCTCCTGTTTGCTGGGCCTCTCTGGCCCTCTTCTCACTGGCTCTGTCTTTTCTGTCCCCGGCAGACTGGGACGAGTGTGCAGACAGCTCGGAGCACGACTGCTCCCCCGCCGCCGACTGCATCAACCTCGAGGGCTCCTACACCTGCCAGTGCCGCACAGCCAGGGACGCCAACCCCTCCCGGGCTGGCCGCGCCTGCGAGGGTGCGCGTCCCCAGCCCCGCTCTGGGACCTGGGGGAGGAGGGCAAGCTCTGCAAGTGTCCATGGAAATGTTTTCATTTTCTTTTAAAAACCAGAAGAAAGAGAATAATATGATGCTAAATATAGACAACAACAAATCCAGCCTGTTCTGTCCACTTTTATGCCAGCGTAGTTGTAAAATTTAATTTTAATAGATTTTTTTAAAGGAAGGGGTGCAGGAATCCACCAGTCACCATGAGCCCCTGGGAAGGCAGATTCTTTCCTGGGAGGCCTCAGGCTGGAGAGGGAGTAGAAGCCCAGGTGAGCTGGACAAAGGCCTGTGGGGCCTCCGAGCCCTGCTCCTCCACTTCTCGGCCCCAAGTCTTGGACAGGGGCCACCAGAGTGCTGCTCAGGGAGCAGGGGGAGCCACCTGCAGACTTTAGATGCTGTGGGGATTTGCCACGTCTGCCCTGCACAAGGCTGTGGGCAGTGGAGGGGCCAGCCACGCCTGACATCCATGCTGAGGCCTGTGTGGCAGGAAGAGGAGTGGGAAAGATCCCGCATTTTTAGCAGACTTGGGACACCAGGCTCTGGCTTGGTCACCTGAACACACATGGGCTGCCAAGTTCCCACTGGGGTCTCCATCCTCAGACAACTCACCACAGGCAGGGGGCTCCAGGGGGGCAGGAATGGGGGTGGAGCCAGGTCTAGCCAGGGGAAGCCTCCTGAGACATTCAGTGTCCATCCTGCTTTCTGAGATGTCCACTGCTTGTCTCCCACTTCTCTTACTTATCTAACGTGGACATTAGAGTTGAGAGCAACTAGCACCAAGTCCCACTCTGAGTACAAACTGGGGAAACTGTCCCGTTCCCCTGGGGGGTCCAGAGCCCTGGGGGTCCATCTGAGGCCTATGAGCACTAGGCCCTGCCTCCGGCCCTGGGTCTGCAGCCCCCAGGAGGGTTCCTGTCTGCTTTGGGGGGGTCTCAGCTTCCTCTTTGCAGGCAGAAAGCCCCATCTTGCTGACACGGCTCATTAAACGCCACAGAGCCAGCCTGTGTCCCTTTGGGGTCCCTGGGGAGGCAGGGAAGTCCTGTTGGATGGCCGTGTCTTCTTGCAGGGAGGACTCGGGTTGTGGGAGGAACTGGGGGGCTTTGCTCAGAGGTTCCTGGTGTCAGATGGCGGATGTGTCTTGCAGGTGATGTGGTGAGACCCACGGGAGGTGAACTATCTGCAGCAACAGGAGTGACAGCCTCAGCCCTCGGCACAGGGACAACCACCCTGTCCCTCAGACCCAGGCATCCATGGGACACCCTGGCAGCAAGCCAGGCCCAGACCCCAAGACCCCCACCCAGGAGAGGGGGCAGTGGCACAGTCGGGAACAACAGGAACAGCACAGGGCAAGGCGTGGAGAAGGAGGCGCCCAGTATGGCCCTGGGCCTGGGGACCAGCCAAGGGAGCACCAGCGTGGTGGCCAGCACCTCTTCCTTCAGGGGTCCTGGGCCAACCCATGTCTCCCCTCAGGGGGACACGGACAGCCCACTAGACCCCCCTGGACAGTTATGGGGGAGCCCCACCATGGATCCACTCTTCTGGCCTGTGCCTGCGGAGGACCCCACGGGCCACAGTGTGTGGCACACCAACCTTCCCACTCAAAAGACATCACTGAACGCCACAAGACTGCAGGACAAGGACCCTGGACCTTCCCCCTGGATAGACCTGGTGTCGACCCCCATTCCTGCCCCCCTGGAGCCCCCTGCCTGTGGTGAGTTGTCTGAGAATGGAGACCTCAGTGGGAACTTGGCAGCTCATGTGTGTTCAGGTGACCAAGCCAGAGCCTGGTGTCCCAAGTCTGGCTAAAAATGCTGGGCCATCTCTCTCATCTTGTGCAAGAGGAGACCCAGGCCCAGAGCAGTGGGACCTCAGTGTTAGTGTCTGGCCTAGTTAGGAAGAGAGATGCCCCCCATCTCCAGCCTTCCCCTCTCCTCTCCCCCGCCTGAGGCCCCCGTGTGCAGCAGCTGGGGCGGAAGTCAGCCGGGGAAAGAGCCTCTGCGGCGTGGTAGCCCTCCAATTGCTGGAGCGACCCTGAGTGTTGGGTGCCAGCAGTACCACCATCCCCAGCGTCTGCTCCCCGGCTGGCTAGAGCCCTCAGTGTGTTACAGCACACCACACTCTGCACCCCGGCTTTCCTTCACCCCACACTGTATGTGCCCCAGTCCTGTGGAGCCTCCTAGCAGTTCTGCACCCCCAGCTCTTCCTCACCTGGCCATGCTGAGCCCCAGCTCTCCCATACCCCCAGCTGCCTGTACCACCCACCAGCTGTGCTACCCCCCCCCACCCACACACACCAGCAGATCCACACAGTGAGTAGAGGGTTTAGTCATCACAAAGCCAGGGGACAGCCCAGGAGAGAAGTTGCTCCCTGCAGTGAATAGGCCTGGGTGGTGACAGCCCCCCAGAGGCTACACTGGCATCTGCATTGTGGGTGTGCAGAGCTGGTTCAGCCCTGGACCCCAGCAACCTGGACTAACTGCTGAGTGTGAGCTCCGCCAGGTGTTTCCTCCGCTCCGCCACCTAAGCTCACATGGGCCAGGATGGTCCCATCAGGAGCCACAGGCTCCCTGTTGGAGCAGCTCTCAAGGTCAGCAATGCCTCCAGGGATGTCCACCTGGGGTCAGGTGTGGGCAGCCTTGCTGAGGAGCTGTCCAGCACCTACTGAAGAGGCCTCATTGGGGCAGTTACAGACCAAGGGCTGTGGCTGAACCTGGCTCTAGAACAGAGCGGAGCCAGGACTGTTTCCTATCATCCCGGGGGGCAGGGGTGCAGTTCTAGGGAGCCAGGCTAGGAGGCCCCGCGAGGACACTCCAAGGGGTGCTGGGGTGGTGCTGGGACGGACACTCCCCCTGCTGGCTCTGAGGGGACAAGCGTCAAGCATGGAGAAGAGGAGAAGCCCCTGGTATACAGCAGGTGCTCCACAGGTATTCAGAGAAGGACCCAACGAGGTCGGAGAGGGGACTTGGTTCTCCTCTCTAAGAACGCCTGGACTGATTCCACTCTGGCCTTTATATTCCACTTCCCAGCCCCTGTCCCTATCCAGAGGGTCACGGTCTCCAATGTGACCAGCACCAGCTTCCACCTGGCGTGGGTGGCGAACCTTACCTTGCACCCCACCTTCCGGCTCTCCCTGGCCTCCCCACGGAGCCCTGCCGTGGGCCTGGAGACCCGAGACACAAGCATGACTGTGTCAGGGCTGGAGCCTGGCATCCTGCACCTGGTGGAGATCGTGGCCAAAGTGTGTGGGGAAGAAGGTGCCCGAGCACACCTGAAAGTGAGGACAGGTAAGGGCTTCAGATGGCCTGTCGCCAGGTGTTTTCACCAGGGCACGTCATCGTCGGGGGAGTGGGCCCAGCCCTCACCATTTGTCCTAAAGGGAGGGTCAGAAAAGGGTGAAGCAATGGCAGGAGCCCAAGGCTGGCGAAAGCCCGGTGGACTAGTGGGCCGTGGGGTTTCCACGTCCCTCTCACTCCACTCATTCAGCAGGACAGGAGGTGGAGCCTCAGGGGCAGTTGGCCTGACCGTGGCCAGGAGGTGGCTCTGCAGAACGTGCCCAGTGCTGCCCATCTGTGCCCTCTGGTACATAGCAGGGAAGTGCTCGTGGTGCTGGTCTGTCCCCTCCCTCGACTCTGTGTGCTTGGCTTTCGGAGAGGTGCCAGTCACCTACCAGTGGTCCCCAGAGCCCAGTGCCACAGGCGGAGGGATGGGGATAGAACTGAGTGGTGCCCAGCATGGACTCCAACATGCGGGAGCAGGTCCCTATCCATAAGCACACAGTCAGATGACCTTCTCTGTTCCTCATTAGCCTGTCACCTGGATATTCTCGGAGCATGTGACTCACCTGTGTGAAACTGCAGGTAGTCCTCACGTATCAGAGAGCTTCCCAAGCATTGATGCGGGGTCTCCAGGTGGGGGTCCCATCTTTGGGGGTGCTAGAGATGACCTACTACGGTGCAATTAGAAGAGCTTAGCACTTTTTTTGGTCTAATTCAAAACGCTAATCAGCCTTGGGCTGGGAAGTGAGAGAGCAGCGTGGTTTGCAATGGTGCTAATTGTGGGAGTTCATGGCCAGCAGGAGAGGGAGGTCAGTGTTGGTTGGATGGCCAGGCAGGGTGTCCTCTGAGTCCGAGAGCTGAAGCTGGGTCCGTAAGGTTCTCCCTTTCTCTGGAGGGACAAAATGTACATGGGCCCGTGACCCCGTGCCTGAGGCTGGGTCTACATCTGTTTTCGCCTGTGTCCCTGTCCTGCATCTGATGGCTTTCAGATCAGCTTGCATATGCCACCTGTCACAGCTCTGGATTCATGGCCTTCAGGTGCAGTGACAGCAATGGCCCCAGGACATGGGGCTTGGGGCTCATCCAGGAATGTGCAGCTGGACAGCTTTGTGGTGTGTATAAACACCCAGAGCTCTCAGGGGACACACTTTAAGCCCCCAAGAGGAGAAGCTTGTCCTGTCTCACTGCCATTCACCCTGGCGTGTCGCGAGTGCTTCCCAAGTATGTGGTGATGGCCTGAACAAGGAGGGATGCGTCCGAGTGCTGAAAGCCAGATGCCTCTGGACAGTGCTCCTGGGTGCCGTCATGTCCAGTGTACTCCTAGAAGGCCCATAGAGGGCGGAGATTCAGATGGCACCACAGTGGGACTGCCACACACCTGGAGCCAAGGGGCTGTGAGGGGAGGGGACACTGACCAAGCCAGATCTCGGCTCCCTGCCATGGAGCAGGCTCTCGTCAGAGGCCTAGCAGAGCCCTGTGTCCTGGTTCCCTGGGGCACCAGTCTACACAGTAGCCCTGGCCTAATTATTTGCTGGAGTCTCCCTTTGCTCTCAAAGCTGTCCTGGCTTGCAGGTGACAGCCCTGAGGGAGACAGCTGTGCAGGAAGAGTGGCAGGGCTGAGCTGGCCCTGCCGCCCCACGGGGCTCTCCCCTTGTCCCACGTACTCTGGAGGCCCGTGGGCTGTGTCTGCAGTGTCGGGCTGGTTCTTTCTTTGTGGCGCACAGCTTGGCCTTGGCTTGGTGTTCTGGCCAACATGGAAATATGGCCACGAGACGCAAATGACAGTCTGTGACCTGCAGCATTGCTGTTCCAAATATGTCTTTTCTCCATCCTGCAGCCGCCCAGAAACTCAGTGGCAAAGTCAGACTAGCAAACGTCAGGTTTTCAGAATCCTTGTGCGATTCAAGCAGCACGGAGCACCAGCGCTTCCTGGGGCTCTTCTTCAGAAGGGTGAGTGAGCGGCAGGCCCTTCTGTCTTTTTGGGAGGCCAAGGGCGCTCCAGCCTCATCCAACCAGGAATCAGACTTGCAGGGGACCTTTTATATGAAGGTGGCCGGGACTCTAAGCTTTGGCATGGTCCTGGTGTCCCCCAGACCAGCACAGGCCCATCTGGAGAAGGGAGACACACTTTGTCCCCTGCACACCTTGGCTTCACACGGTTTGCTATTCATTGTAGGACACTGTAGCAGAAAGGCCCTTCCCTGCTTAAAAAGAGCCACACAAACAAAAAACTTTAAAAATTGAGATCTATTTCACATACTTAAAATTCACATTTTAAAGCGCACACCTTAACTATATTTGCAAGATTAGCCAGCCATCACGACTATCTAATTCCACATCATTTTAACATCCTTAAGAGAAACGCTCTGCCACTATGAGTCACTCCCCTCTGCCTCCCCCTGCCTCTGGACACCACTCCTGGGCTTTCGGTCTCTGGACTGCCTGTTCTGGACTCTCTTGGAATGGAAGCTCACAACCTGGGGCGTCTGTGTCTGCTCCTTCCCCTTAGCGCCACGTCTCCAAGGTTCATTCTTGGAACTCCTTTCTGTGGCTATATCGTCCCATTGCATGGAAGGACCACATCCTGTTTGTGCAGACGCCACGTGGTAGACCTTGGCTGGCTTCCATGTCTTGGCTGTTATGACTAATGCTGCTATGGCGCTAGGTCACCTGCATTTACAAAAATTATTTCTCCTACTCTTTCTTGTGCTTCATCCCTGCCACCCCCAGAGTGTTCTTTTTTAAGGGCATATTGTTCCCACTTAGCAAGGGAGAGATCTCCATAGTTTTGGTTAGGGATGGTGCAGGCGCTCACCCTCTCCACCCGTCTCCTCCCTCTAGTGGCAATTGGATCCGAGTAGAGAGGGGTTGGCAGCGCCACCCAGTGGTGGGTGTGACAGGTGATTTGGTTCAACCCTCAGCACCCCAGCTGGTAATGAGTGCTGCTGCCTCTGGGAGCTGGCCCTGTGGAGCTGTGGGGACCTGGGGTCCTGCCTCCGCTATTCCTGGATTCCAGCTCCTGTGGTGGCTCCATGGTGAGCATCACCACCTCCTCTAGGTACAGGGGTAGTTATAGACACTGACCTTCCAGGTGGCCTGGTGGCCCAAGGAGGGACAGGCAGCCACATCTCCACCCTAGCTTTCTTGGTTAATCTTTCCCCCTTAAACTATTTCCTTCTTTGCCTGTGTTTGAGGATAATTGTGTTTTTTTTTAAATCTGGAATCTCAGGATAGCAAATAATTGTATGACAAGATGTATGCAGAACATGGAGACCAGGGGTTAAAGAGGCACCCGACTCATCATCCTCTCCTGGGAGGGCCTGAGATCCGTTTGGCATGGTCACAATGACTCAGGACTAAGCAGACCTCCCCACGGAAGCCAGGGGTCGGAAGAAGCCCACTGTTATATCCATATCGATAGTGACAACAGCTATTCGGGCCACCAGGCAGATGTGGGGACGGGCTTTCTGGGGGAGTTGGCCTCATCTTGGGTGGCTTGGAGGTGGGGAAGTGAAGCCATGAGCTGGTGTCTTGGGCTCCTGCACCTCATGGTTCTCCGAGGACGGTCCCTGGGGTGCTTCTCCAGAGGCTGACACTCCATGAACTACTAAAGCATAATGTGAGGCTGTGTGTCTCTCTGGGCATTTTGACTATGGTGAGCTGGAATGGGAGAACACAGAGTGTGACATGTAATTTCACCTAAAATAATGGAATGTAAAGGAAGCTTTTCAGAGGTGGAAACTGCGGGTCCTACTGGGAATGTTGGAGATGCGCCCACTCGGGCTGTGGGCTCACGGGGAGGGAGAAGGAAGGGGAGGCATCCCACAGTGTCAGGAGCAGAGGGTTGGTGGCTCCTGTGACCTCTCACTCAGGCTCCTGCTCTCTGTGTCTCTGAGCTGAGTTGCAGGTTTCTGTGTCACCTTGAACCCCCGTGTTACAGGCAGGGTCCTCTCCTGTGTTCCTGCTCCGTGCTTGAGCTGTCTGCGGGTCTGGGGGAGTAGCAGGACCCTTCTCAGTATCACAGACTCTCCCAGGTGTTCGGGCTGGCTTGGGGACTTGCGGACTGGAAAGGAGCGCAGAACCAACCTGTGGCCTTGACAGTTTTGCTGTGAGCTGGCCGTGCAGCCGGGCAGGACCCCAGGAGGAGCTGCCCTTAGGACCAGTGACCCGTGTCCTCAGCAGGCCACTTTGCTCACATGGCTTTTACATCTCCAGGTGAGGGACCCCTTGCCAGCCACCCTGCGTCGGCACATGGACTCCGGCGGGATCCGAGTGGACGTCACGAGCATCGCCAACGGCAGCGTGGTGGTGGAGTTTGATCTGCTGGTGACCGCGGACCTGGACGTCAGGGAGGTGTCTGTGGCGTTCCTCTGTGCCCTACAGAACGCGTCTCTGCTGGGAGCCAGCAGGGACAGTGCCTCCATATGGGGTAGGTGAAGGCTAGGCACCGTGGGACCTCCCCCAGGTTCAGAACTGGGGCAGCAAGAGCCCGGCTGCTGCCTTTGGTTTGGGGGGATGTGCCCATGAGCCTCCTCTGTGGTCTTTCCGCCAAACCAGCTGGGAGTGTGGGATAGATGGGCCCCTCCTCATCTCTCTCAATGCCTCCATGGCTGCTAAGGCTCAAGGGTTGGAAACATCCTCAGGCGAGCCTGCAGAGACCAAGGGACGTGCTACCTTCAGCGGTCGCTCGGCCCTGCCCCTGCTGCCCATTTTGGTGGATGGAGCGAGATGCGTCCCTCTGCGCCAGCCAGCTTCCTCCCAGGCAGTCCCCCAGAAGATCCGAGTGGGGGCAGGGGGCAAGAAGAGCAGAGAGAAGAGACAAGAGGTTCTTTCCTCAGATCATGCCTGGGAAGAAAGGATAAGCTGGGGGCGGGGGCTCTGGAGGCTGAGGTTCAAAGCCAGCCTCAGCACTTTAGCGAGGTCCTAAAGCAACTCAGCAATATCTTAACAAATATTGGATAAATAAAATATAAAAAAGGGCTCAGTGGTTAAGCTCCCCTGAGTTCAATCTCTGGTACCAAAAAAAAAAAAAAAGAGAGAGAGATATTAAAAGGCTATGAGTTACATGTATGAAAAATTGAAGACTTCTTAATTGAGGATTAATATTTTCTGACTTTTTGGAATGAGAAGAATTTACCAAAGAAAATTGGATTTCCAGAAGAGAGGCTGAAATCCTTGACTACATGAACACACAATTCTTTCCCTAAGGTGCTGGGGGTTGAACCCAGGACCTTGTGCGTGCTGAGCCAGGCTGTATCAGTGAGTCACGCCCCAGCCCGGAAGACCCAAATCTTCTACATCAGAAAAAATAAAGGCACCATTATAAAGCGAGCAAAATATGTTCAGTAATCTGATGAGGAATAATATCCTAAGTTCAGAGAGATCACACAAGTAGACGATAAATAGCAAGAAGCCTGTAGATAGGTGCACCAGGGTCCCAGAGAGAAAACAGAGAAGAAGACGCAAGCGACTGGCAAAGAGGGTCACCTTCAGTGACACGTAAAGAATCTTCATGGTGCAACGTGTGAGTTCCAGTGAAGGCGCCGTGAGCAGGGGTGAGGGGTGGCTGGGGGTGGAATTTGCTCCCCCTGCTCAGATGATTTCTGACTGTCAGCTGTCGACACAAGTGAGGCACAGGGGTCCCTCCACCTTGGCGTCGGAGCACCACTTCTAGGACTCTCAGGGCTCAGTTGGGACCATGTTTTGGGTGTTTTTTTTTTGGTGCTGGGGATTGAACCCAGGGCCTTGTGCATGTGAGGCAAGCCCTCTACCAACTGGGCCAGGTCCCCAGCCCTCATTTTTTTTTACAACATATTCATCTTCAGGGTCACTTTAAAAGCAGTCCTGGGGCAGGAAGTGTACTAAATCATGTCCCTGGCATATGCCGCTGTCCATGATGAAAACGAGGCTTGCTGGGGTGGAAGGTGCTGGAAGGACAGGGGAAGGAAAGAGGCGGAATATGCTTGGTGTCGGTGGAGGCTGCGACCCAGGGCCTCACCCAGGCCAGGCAAGTGCTCTACCACTGGGCTGCGCGGGGCCTGGAGTCTGTCTTAAGAGACCAGGTGGAAATAAACCAGCTCGCAGAATCGGGGGCGCTGGGTTCTGTGCTCGGCTTTCCTGTTTCCCCCCATCTTCTGCAGCAGGCCTGCTGCTGAGTAGCTTAGTGGCCAAGTGTGAGGAGGAAGGGCAGGAGGCACAGGCCTGGGGCGTGGGGAGATTGGGGGCCTGGCTGCTGGGTCTCTCCAGAGGTTGGGGGACGACCCTGCCTTGCTGGCACCCTCCCCCTTGCACGGCAGCCTCTGCAGACGCACCAACAGTAGCTCCCCACCACCCCAGCAGCCCGTGCCCTCCAGAGCTGGCCACATGCACGTGGTGTGCTCTCCTGGGGTCGGTTCAGTTTTGCCTCTGAGGACCTGCTCTCCCCTCGGGGCCGTGGTGAGCCATCAGCCTGGTGAAGCCTCTCCTACCGCCACCCGCGGGCCCCACGATGTTTCCTGTTCTGTTCTCTAAACTCTCGCAGATTATGACGAGTGTGAGAGGCAGGAGGACGATTGTGCGCCGGGGACATCCTGCCGGAACACCCTTGGGTCTTTCACCTGCAGCTGCCAGGGAGGCGCCCCGGACTTCCACGTGGAATATTCTGGAAGACCTTGCGAAGGTGACAGTGTCATGGTCCCCTTTCCAGAACACCGTCCCACAATCTGTTCTTTCAAGGACTCTCATGAGTGGGCTTGTTGTCCTGGGGCGAGTTTCCTGTGCACACGTGGGGTGTGTGTGCAACATGCTCTGCTTGGGGTAGAAGCAGGGGGCACAGAGACGGAGTTGTCTCCGACCAGAGCCTGCTCAGGGAGGGCTTGCGGAAGAGAGTCTTGGGGCTGGTCCTAAGGAGCAGCTAAGGAGGCACATGACAAAGAGGGCAGAGTGGCAGGGTGTGTTGGGGGTCACTGAGCAAGAGAGGCTGTTGAAGGTGGGCAAGGTCCAAGCACATAGTAGGGTGGCTGCAGGACGAGGTGCTGGGGTGTGGGGGGCTGCTGGAGAAGCCGCCGCAGTTTGCTCCACATCCCGGGGGAGAAGCTGCAGAGCACCAGGTGAGCCCCACCGAGGTGAAGGAAGGTGGCCCCCAGGCCAGCAGGGGCCAGCAGGGCTGGGAAGGAGGCTGTGAGGCCGCCGAGTGGAGCCTGGGGCCTGGGGTCCACGTGAGCACAGGGCACTGAGGACCATGCACGTCTCGGAGGCCTGACGTGATTCCTGGTTCTCGTGGGTGTTCCAGTGGAGTGTTTGGGGCAACAGGGAATCCAGGCAGGGGTGAGGGGCCTGGGGTCCTGAAGGGAGGCTTCAGAGCCCATTAGTGGCCAGCCTCCAGCCTCTGGGGACAGGTGACTTTCCCTGCCACAGGCTTGGCACATCCCTGCATTATCCCCTGAGGTCCCCAGCCACAGGCGCCCCTTGTGCCAAGAGCAAAGCTGGCTGGCACAGCACGCCGTGTGCCACTGTGGCTCAGCCGGCCGTTCCCTGTGTGGCTGCTGCAGGGTGTCGTGACTCCCCAGCTGTCTGCCCACCCAGGTCAGCCCCACAGAAGCCCGCCCTTTCCCTTGGTCTCCTTGTGTCTGCAGGAAGCTCTCCTGGCAACTTGACCCAGGCTCCCAGCCCAGAGCAGCTGCCCACACCAGCAGGGACCAGGGCTGCGCTCAGGACAGGTGACAGGCCCACCCCCCAGGACCTGCGCCCGCGGCTGAACCTGACGGGCGCAGTCAGGGTGCTCTGCGAGATTGAGAAGGTGGCCATCGCCATCCAGAGACGCTTCCTGCAGCAGGAGGCCATCCCCGAGTCCTCCCTGTACCTGGGACAGCCCTCCTGCAACGTGAGCAGCAGCAACAGCACCCACGTGCTCCTGGTGGCCGGCTGGGGAGAGTGCGGGACCCTTGTGCAAAGCGTAAGTTCTGACATGGAATGCACACTTGGGTGCAGGGTCTGTGAGTCAGCGGGTCCTCAATATGGGGAGGGTTGGCGTCTGGTCTGGGGTGGCCAGGCAAGACCCTGGCTGCTGAGCTGCCTGACTCTCAGCAAGGGAACCCAGCAATGGAGGTCAGGATCAACCCAGTCTGCACCAAAGAAATAGGAAGGAGATGTGAGCTCCATCCTGCAGGGTTCTGGTGCAAAGGGCCTGGGGTCCATCTGAGTCAGGGTTCAGAGAGTTGTCCCACTGCAGGCAGGAGGGAGAGGCAGGAGTAGAAGAGGCAGGACAGCCAGGTGTCATGTGGGAATGTGAGTGTGGACAAGTGCCCGTGGGTCTGAATACACCTATGTATATGTGTGAGTTTCCAAGAGTGTACATATGCACACAGTGAATGTGCCTATGCACATGCACAGATACACGTGTGCATGCATGTGCATGTGTGCAAATATGCCTGTGTATATGTGTGAGCATACAAGCACATGAGTGTGCACATACAGTGAACACACCTATGCATGAATATACACATGTGCCAAGCATGTGCACGTGTAAGAATATGCCTGTGCATGTGTGTTTGTGTACATGAGTGCACACGTGTGTGCATACATGTGAATATGCTACACATATGAATGAACATCCCTGTGTGCAGGTATGTGCACGTGTGTGGGTGAGCCTGTGTGTAGTGGGAACATTCACGAGTGTACATGTGCATATGAATGTGCCTATGGACATGTATGAATGAGTGTATGTGTATTAGTCAGATTTCTGTCACTGTGACAAAATACATGAGATAAATCAACTTAAAAGAGGAAAGGATTACTTTGACTCACGGTTTTGGAGGTTTCAGTTTGTGGCTGGCCCCTGTTCTTGGGCGTGTGGCAAGGCAAAACACTATGGCGGGGGCGCGTGGGGGGGGCAAAGCTGCCTCGTGGCAGCTGGGAAGCAAAGGAAGAGAGAGGAAGGGGCTGGGTGCTAACACCTCCTTGTAGGGCATGCCCACATTCTGCCTGGAGATCCACCTCCTCAAGGTCCCACCCCTTCAGGTGGCACCGTGGGCTGGCACCAGGCCTTCAACACATGGATGTTCCAATCCAAAATGTAGCAAAGTGTGCAGGCACTGACTGTGTGTGTGAGAGTGTGTGCATGTGTGTGGTTGTGTTTGATACATCTGTGGGTGTGCAGAGGTGTGCCTGTGTGTGAGTGGCTGAATGTGTGTGTGTCTGAACACATCCATGTGTGAGCATGTATCTGTGTGCATGTATGTAAATCTGCATAGCTGTGTATGTGTGTGTGCAAATGTGCATGTGTGTGTGCAAATGTGCATGTGTGTGAATGTAGGAGTGTGTTTTGTGTGTGGGTGTGTGCATTAAATGCATATAAACATCACAAGTGTGCATGCCTGTAGTGCATGGCTGTGTGTGTCAAGGGTGTGGGTAAATGTGTGCATGAATCTGAGCATGAATGGGAAGACAGGTGTAGGTGGGTCCACGTACAATTATGTGTGAGTTGAACATGTCAGAGTGTGTTGCTAACATGTGAGTGTGCATATGGTTTGTGTGTGGATGTATCTGTACACATGTATGAGTGTGAATGTGGGCAAGCAAGCTGAGCTTGTCAGTGAGTGTGTGTGTATGGGTGAGTGTGCATGGCCACTGTGGGGGTGTGTATGTATGGGTGAGTGTGCATGTTCACTGTGAGTGTGTGTATGGGTGAGTGTGCATGTCCACTGTGGGGGTGTGTGTGTATGGGTGAGTGTGCATG